GGCCCTGATGGCCGCGTCGAAATTTTCCTAGCCTTAAGCTGCAAGGCAGCGCCATCTCTTCGCATTGTAGGCAACCCATAATGTCAAATGAATACTTTTTTAAGCATTAAACATTTGAAAGAAGAAATAGCAATTATAATTATGTTTTTATTTTTTTTAAAGCATTCAACTAGATGTTTAAATCTAAAGAATCCCTTATTAATAATCGAAGAATAAGCTTGGATTAGTTATTCCATGTATCGTCTTTCTTCATTGAATTACAATGGCAATTGAGTGACATGAATTAAACACGGCGTAACTAATCTAAGCTTATTTCTCGTATATTAGTAACTAGCGGCCCGCCCTCGCTTCGCTTTGATGTAGAGCTGAAGTATAGACTACAGTTTTTGTTCTCAGGCTTGTATTATACACAATGACATTCATCTATGATTCTTCTTATATAGGTACCTGCATGCAAAGTCTCAGCCCGATCGGTTTAAAATTGACAAAGTTTCATACAAACTTTCATTCCCTATTTTATCCCCTTGGGGGTAGAATTGATCAAAAGCCTTTCTTAGCGGATGCCTACGTCATAACATCTACCTGCATGCCAAATTTCAGCCCGATCCGTCCAGTGGTTTGGGCTGTGCGTTGATAGATCACTATGTCAGTCAGTCAGTCACCTTTGAGTTTTATATATATATAGATAGATGGGGAATAGGTCCTATAGGTCCTAGTGTAAAAATTGTTAAGACCTCCGTCGTCTAAACAAACAAAAGGTATCGTATCGTATTAGATTCTCCCACCTGAAGTGGTCCATCACTTTCAGGGAAAACATCTATTTGTAAACACATGGGATTAAAGAAGCTTAAGAATAATCAGGAGGAGCTCGATGGCGCAAGTGGTTAGCGCGTTCGGCTGCGACCGTTGAAGTTAAGCAACTTTCGCAGTGGTCGGTCATTGGATGGGTGACCAAAAATTTACTATCTCGAGCTCCTCCGTGCTTCGGAAGGCACGTTAAGCCGTTGGTCCCGGCTGCATCTGCAGTCGTTAGCACCCACCAATCCGCACTGGGCCCGCGCGGTGGGTCATGGCCCAATCTCCCTTTTCTATCCATAGGGAAGGCCTGTGCCCCAGCAGTGGGGACATATTAATGTCCTGATGATGATGAAAATGATGAATAATCAAATTTTATTTCTTTGGATTTCGTATATAAATTTGTGGAAATCCACTTAGCACGTAGTGTAACTAACTAAATACATAGTTGTCGCAAAAAAAAACAGTTACGACTGTAAGGAGCTTTCCAAGAAACGGTTGAATCATCTTGATTTATATCGTATTGTTATGTGTCGGTCTTTAAGCGCGCATGAAACTTTTTTGAAACGGACTTGGCAGCCACTTGGACGCAAAGTGCTCCATCAGTGAAGAATATCTGTGATACATACATCCCTTGCGAGGTCGAAAGGACATCGAAGGTTATTCCTATCCACACTTCTACATATATGACCTTGTTTAAATCTAAAGAAAAGTTTACTAGAAAAAAAATCCACGCGGACCGGACGCGGAAAAATCCATGCGGGTTCGAGTCCCGTCCGCTGCCTGGTCCGCGTGGATTTTTTTCTAGTAAACTTTTCTTTAGATTTAAACATCTAGCAGTTAAATGCTTAAAAATAAATAAAATCATAACTATAATTGCCATTTCTTCTTTCAAAATGTTTAATACTTGAAAAAGTGTTCATTTTGACATTGTGGGTTACCTACAATGCGAAGAGATGGCGCTGCCTTGCAGCTTAACGCTAGGAAAATTTCGACGCGGCTAATAGGGCCGTGGTAGCATAATGGTCAGTGCATTCGCCCGGATTGCGAAGGATGCGGGTTCGAGTCCCGTCCGCTGCCTGGTCCGCGTGGATTTTTTTCTAGTAAACTTTTCTTTAGATTTAAACATCTAGCAGTTAAATGCTTAAAAATAAATAAAATCATATATGACCTTGGTTGGGGCCAACTGTTGTCCCGAAACAAGTCTCGGGTTATCAGCCTATATTGTCGGAAGCATTATCCGAAGTTACATTGTCTTTAAAGGACGCGTCGGAGATCTGGAAATCTTCATCGCTACGGAAATACAAAACTTAAAAATATTGTCATTTAGTTGGTCATCTTCTATATGGTGAATCTTGTTTCTCAAGACGCGCACTGTAAGTCGAGCGGAGTATTCCATGCGCCCTACTTTTCTTGTCATACGATTAATTGACAGTGTTACCAACCCTTACCAAAAATTTCCCCTAAGTATTTTATAATTTCCCCTAAAATCCCCTAAATATAGAATTTCATATGTACCTACTTATTACCTAAATTCTTTCGTTTCTCATAAATTAAAACGTTTCTTATTTAGTTACAGTAAATTATTTTATTGAATGAATGACAAAAATAAATGGCGAGCCTTGAGTATGACGTGAACGAATGAAAGAACGGACATGATTGTTATGTTGTTGTTGTATATTAACTATTGGTGATAGGCAAAGAACTAAATCCATACAGCATTAGGAAAAAAACCGCCACACAGTCAGTTCAGTCGTTTCATATCGTGGTGCGTTCAATTTTACGCATAAAACTGAAAGAAAACACACGCTTAGATTTTCGATTTCATTGCAAGTTTTGTTAAAATCCCCTATAAGAACCCCCGATAAATTCCAGCCCCTAAAAAAGTCCGTTTTAACACTAGCCCCTAAATCTGGGTGCAAAACCCCTAAGTTGGGAACCGTGTTAGTTGAAAGAGTTCATTTTTTTTTTAGTAAGCACTATAAGGCTTGTGTTATGGGATGCTAGGGTAACGGATAGAATACATATACTGTACATATATAAGTATATTTATATAAATACATATTAAACATCCATGACTGAAGTACAAATGCTCGTATTCATCACACAAACATCTGCCCCCACCGGGATTCGAACCCGGGACCTCTCGAGTCAGCGACAGCCATGAAACCCGGCGTACAAACCACTCGGCCACGGAGGTCGTCTAACTTTGGTCTTCCTTTGTGTTTTTGGAATATAAAAGTTCTGTGCATGTCCTAGGCCTTTACATTCCTTCTTTATTAAAAAGGGTTTATTCGCAACAATGTTCCCAGTCAATTATCAGATTGTTTTACACACTTCTACACAGGGTGGTGGGATACGGTCTAGGTCGGTGAGGTGGTGGTGATAGTCATTCACCATCGTAGGTATTTCTACCATATTTTCCTTTATTATTTACTTAATCAGTGAGCTCCTTCGCAGAAGTTAAACCACTTTCGAAATGCCTTCTGAATCTGATTTATTTTGAATTGGTTAAATCTTGAAATGGTAAGAAATGAAATTTGTTTATTCACACAAAACAGAGTAGGTACTTTTTGGTGGTAATTCTGATTTAGTTCGTCCATTTTGCCAACGACAGGACATGTAAATGTACACTTAATTAAATTGTACAATTTATATGTAGTTATGTCATTTTATTTATTCTATTCTAAGTCAATTTTCGTTTCTAAATAACAATAATTTTCTAAACTTATTTTAGGCTTTCGTTTAAGCCTTTTTTTACTTTGCTTTTGTGTTTTTCGAATATAAAAGTTCTGTGCCCATGTCCCAGCCCTAAACATTCTTTCTTCATTAAAATAGCACCTACTATGCTTACTTCTTGTGTGTTCCCTCCGAGGTAATCTCGTAAAAGCTTAGGCACATCTTTATCGAGCGTAAGGCAGTCTTTTATGGTCCGTTAACCGACAAATATAATAAACTAATCCCGCAAAACAATATTACCGGTAACTCGCCCGTTAAGACGTTAACTGAAGACTATTAGACTTTTTATATATTTAATTACTTGAAATCCCATGCTGGAGTGGGAGCATAAGCAAACAGGTAATGTGCGAAGATTCTTGTGCAATAATTCGTGTCTGTCAACTATCAATAGACAATAATTGAGTTATGAAGTTGACAATAATAAGATAGCAAAGTAAGAAAATGTTGATGCAACCAATAAACCTATGTTTAAGAAGTAAATCTCTTATCTAATAGACAAGTCCGTCCGTCCGTGGTGCTGTTTCAGCGGCCAAACCGTAAGAGATAGATAAAGAGAATGTTTAAGTTATAAGTTAAGAATAGTCTGATAAGACTACAAACCGGATTTGAGTAACGTAGCACTTCCGGTTTTCGAGAAATCACGTGATTTCTATTTCAAACGAAACCACACAAAATCTCCGAAGTTCTCAATTAATTGAATACATTTTTTTTTTTTGGTGAACATTTGGTTCACTGGTTTGCTAGTTAAGTATAATAACTTTTTTCCATCTCCAGAAAGTAGTACAAGAACTGGCAGACGCAGTGACGGACGAACAAACAAAAACCATTGTAACACACACAGCTGCACTTATGATACGGTTTAAAAATACGCAGTGAGTTTATTTTGAATGCGTCGGCTGTCTGTCTCGCGTTTAATTACCGTGGGATATTTATAACACCCCCCCTGTTGTAAGCGCCCTCAGTTTTGATTGCGCCGTTAACAAATTAGTTTATATTTTATAGCTTTTGTTCGTGGCCGCAGCGTGTGTGTGTACGTGCGGCGTGTGTTAAATCTGAAATCAGTTGGTGCTGAGTGCGAGTTTTAAACCTTCATATTTTTCTAAAAGCCTATTTACTCGACTTCCACATAATGTGAAACGTGACAAATCCAATGTAATAATATCGGATGTAGGCACCTAGATACTTTCATCCCCTTCTATGAAAATAACGTCCAAATTCAAATGGGAAAATTTGCTGTATTTTTTTTCTTTTCCCTTCGGAGCTACTTTAGAATGCAACTTCATTGAACTTATCACCTTTTTTTTCTTTCTCAAAAGTGCATTTGCAACCATGTTTACGTTTTCTTACCAAATCCTCAATTTCCTGTTACCCCACTTCGGTAACTTACGAATGTTCGCAGAGAGCAGAGAAAAGAGTGCGCGTTGACAAATTCGTTCTCAAATTAAAATGTACAACTTTTCCCTTGGATGCCTCACCACACTCGCTTCATCTCGCCCGGATTTCCACACGTCACATCGCGGCACGACGGCGGGCGAGTAAACGTCATCGAGGCACTTTTTCAATTGCACTCCCCAAACCAGAAACGTGAGTAAGTGAGTGAGTTGGCCGTCAGCCAGGAGTGGCCGCTCACCTGCGCTGCGGCGCTCCAATTCGGCTTCCGTCGCTGATGGCTTGCCCAGAGTCTATTTTTAATGGGGTGACGAACCGATTGATCAGTTCAACCGTGCCGTACACTCGACAGAGATGGGTTATCACGACCAATGATTTCGCACCTTTATATTGAGTAGTAACTCTAACCTACTGAAGAGGACCCATGAAAAGGAAACGTTTGAAAAAGCTGTCTGTTGAAAAATTCGTGAAGGCCTCGCGCACTATTGGTACTGTGCCATCATAATAGGGTTGAAATATTAATATTATATGGTCGAATAATAAACACGGAAAAACAAAGATGTGGGTAAATAAAAAAAAATAAGTCGCTCGTAGTTTTCATTATTTACTTACTTTTATTATGCACCTATGAAAAATCGAAAATATGTACCACGAAATTCTAACTTATTCACAGTTTTCAGTCTTTTATTACTTCAAAGCTATAAAACACAAAACACTCCAATAAAAACTTATAAAATTTGCTTTAATGGCGACAAAAAACATGAAAAAAAAATTCTTGGGCCAAAAGTAAAATTAAATAATAATTTATCAAAAACAGAACGAAACCAAAGTATCCAGAGCTCCATTATTGATTCTGCCTCAAAAACTTTGAACATGTTTTGGGGATAAAACATATTACCTAGAGCCTGGGTTCCGAACCTGGGGGTAATTACCCCTCCGGGGGTAAATCAGCCATACTTCGGGGGTAACAAAGAACCTAATTATTTGGTCAAATCTAAATAATAAGAAAATAATATATAATAATACTACTAAATAGATCATGCGCTCCTTCTCGCTAGCGAGCCCGCGGGGTGCCGAGTGTGGGAAGCGGGGCGAGATTTACTCCTGATGATGACATTATTAGAGACGAAGATGTAGTGGCCAAATTGGAATTTCTTGGACTGATGATAACATTTTAAAGTCGGGGTAAAATCTGTTTTCCTAATAGGTTACAGGGGTAGCAGTATTGGAAAGGTGAGGAAACACTGACCTAGAGCTTAAAAAAGTCAGCCACATGATTGAATAACAAACATCAATTAATAATAATAATAATAATCAATCATCTAATCGCAAATACTTTCCAATTTGTAATATTAGTAGAGTATAAAGAAAGATTGCACTTGAAAAGAGGTGATTCTTATGCATTACCTATGTTAAATAAAAATTATTCGAAGATATTTAGTGTCCGTAACACAGCGGATTCTGCATTCGCCGGAATATTAAGTTGCTGCGTTGAAGTTTTTCTAGTCAATAGTAAAGTAATTGACTATTTTGATAGGGCAAAAGGTGTTCACATTAACTCTACACAATAAGCCGATCAACTCAATCAATTAATTCTAAGCTTCTTGCTTAATTAAGCAGGAAGCTTAGACTAACCTAACCTAACGCCGCCAGGTTTTTTTGAGACGTCGACGTTTCTGCTTCAGATAATAGAATTCTAATCATTTACGAAACTTTTAAATAAAAAGTATTATTCCCAGATACATATCCTATCCTCAAAAAAAAGTTTTGGTCTTTGACCTTTATTGCCACATCCGTGATTATCTCCTCCATATTATGCTCCCCCTTTCTTTTGTGTTCGTTTGGATCCAAGATTATCACTAATATTATTTAATGAGACCTGGGATTAAGTCTCTATCATGTTAAAAGCTTTTCAATTACTTGCCATGGCCCTATCTACAAAACCATAACGAAATTTAGAATTCCTGAAATAGCTAGGCACAAAACGAATGGTTAATTTTTGGGGATGCCTTAGTCAAGCCTAAATCATTAGAATAGACAGTGGCTTAATTATAGGTATACAGTCAGGACCCCACCACGGAAAGGGTGACTAATCCAGTTCCACGTGACATTCCCTTAATAATAATTTCGAATAAAAAAATAAGTGTAGATATTCATAAATCTAATATTACCGCATATGGTTGGTCGCACTGACAACCCCTTTTAAGGATATAACAATACTCAACTCCTTTAAGTGAGCAACAGAATTGTATTAATAATAAATGCTCACTTTATGTAAATAGATTTTAAGTCAAATAAACGAGACAATTGTTAACGGGTGCCGCAGAAACAGTTTAAAGCAGTAAAAGTACTGTTTGTGGAGCATATTATCATACAATGCCATGCATTGTCATATCTCATTTGACCCCTGTAGCAAAGTGAATAGGACATCATCTAGACTATTGCCATCATCGAGGAACGGACTTCGATTCCTGGTTGTCCTTTATAATATTAAATATCAAAACTTTCGTTGATTTAATTTTTTTGGTTGGTTAAGATCTGGTTTTCATGTTAAAGAAACCGAACTTGCGTATAGTATGAACAAGAAATGAGTCAACAAATTTCATCATTCGTGTAGGAATAGTATTCCATAACACAAGCCTTACAGTGCTTAATCTGGGGCTAGGCTAATTGGTGTGTGTTGCGACTAATTATTTATTTTTTTATTATTTCATAGTGGCCACTGTAAGTCAGTGACGTTGTAGGCTAGCGCGCGTGATCCTCTGAAGAAAAGGGAATGAAGGGATCAGTGAGATTAACTCCTCAGAACACAGCTTTGCGTGTCCAAAATATCCCATATGCACGTTACTATCGTCTGCATAGCAATAGATATTTCCAAGAGAAATCAAATCATTCATATGCACTAGAAAGAGTGTGGGGAATAGTACGGAGCCCTGAGACATTCACTGACATGAACTGTGAACTACATTCGTCCGTAAGCACGCGAATATTACGCTCATGTAGGAAGTCAGTCACTCGGGCACAGAACTGAGCAGGCAGACCGTATGCATACAATACTCCTGCGAATGAGTCGTAAGCAAAAGGTCCAGTAAAGACTCTAACTTGATTCACTACATCTGGGATCCTAGTGATAGTGAGTAATGAAATGACTTTTCCCACGTCAAAAGAAATGCCGACGTCCTTGCCAATTATTCCGCCTACATGTCTAGTCGGCGTGACGTCACAGGATACAAGCTCAAGGAAGCTGTCGAAGATTCATCAGTATTTGGCTAGATATGCAAATGAAGGCCAATTTACCAAACGCCTGTCTGAGGATTTTGCCTCACATTACAGAGAAACTTTGTATGGTATTGTGTTGCTGGCGGTGAATGAGGTTGCCTTAACTCCTCATAGTCAACAAATTTCTTTCTTTCTTTTTGCCTTTAAAAGCAATTTCGGAACTCGAATTGATGGAAACAAGGAACAGATAATGGGAAAATTTGCTTCATCTTATTCAGTATAAGGTAAAGTAATATATTTATGATATTTAGGGGGCTAACCAATTGTAGAGGCAAAAAATTTCCTAAGCTTGTTGAAAGTGCCACTGTGAGAAAGGGCGCGCTCATTGTGATTAAGTGCCTTTTTAATACATCTTTGTCAAATTTAAATAGTTTAAAGGCGAATTATAACAATTATTGCAGAAAATAAGAAAGGTTGTGTTTTTTGCTACAACATAAAGCAAAAACTTATTATTATTCATTAATCAATTTAAAAACAACATCAAGCTATTACCTACTTAACATCTTGCTGAGAACTAGATGATAGTTGACAAGACAACTTTGTAAAACAAAAGACGCTAGACTCAATGAACATTACTCACCTACTTATGAAACAATGACATGGATCGGTATTGGCACGTTATTAGATATCATTGTTAGTTCACATTTTCTGATAAAAATAGAAGTTAAAAAGATTCTTTAGAATAATGACAACGTAGGCGTAACAAATGGCTCTAACGTCATATCAAAGGCTCGGTATAAATCCTTCTTAGTATTATATCAAAGTTCAATAGCTAGACATGTGTAGGTTGAACATCAATCATGGTGGGGAAGAACTAAGCCAAAAAAATGCTACTTATTACGAAAAATTACTTAGTCATTCAGAGCAGAAGTGCAAAGGTTAAAACTTGCTAATAATGGTAAATTCATCAAAATATGAACAATGCGTCAATTCTGCCAAACCATAGCTGGCATATATTGCATTTACAATTTCTTTTTCTTCTTCTGTTTCTCGCAGAAAATTTGGCGTTTTCAACGGTAAAAATCTTTACGTGCCAAAATAAAATCATATAAATATGCGAATGTTCTACAAAATGAATGATAGATGTCGACACAACCGTTTATTTACCGAGTAAATAGAAGATGACAAACTTTTCTATCACAAGAATAGGTAGATAACTACTAGGTAAGTGATTTTACTACAAACTTTGAAAAGCTGAATAGAAGCCAATTTTTTTTCCTGACGGCCATGGATGTCCAAACGAGTGATTCCCGTTTAGATAATAGTGTACAGTTTATTTCTGATCTTACAAAATGTTACTCGTCAGACGAAATAATAAGGCCAATGGCCTAATGACAGGGACTTATTTTTAGTTGGGGACTTTTGACGGAGACTCATTTGTTTTAGGCGAGATGTTACTGAAAATCGTCAATGCGTTTTGTCAAATATGTGTCCATATATTTGTTATGTTATAAGTAAATAACTACGAATAAATCATCGAGAATTTATTTAGTAATCATTAACTTTTTCACTTGCTGCATAACTACGGTCTTCAAACTGCTTTTGAATAACGAGATGTTTTTTCATAATTTGTTCAGGTCTATTTAAACTCTCTTTGAATCACGGGAAGTTGAAAAGCCTGGTAATATCGTAAACAATTTCTCTATCCCGGTATTTTAATATTCTCCACACTTAAAAAAAACAATACAATGAAATCAAAATAGAAAACATCATGTGTCATATCTTTTTTATAAGAGACATTGTCATATATCATGTTGCTATAGGAATTCAGAAAGCATTCGCATCAGTCTGAATATCTTCATAAAAATAAGCGGTGTCTAAAATAAGAAAAAAGGGAAAATATGTTGCGCAAGAGAGATTGATTGTTTCTTACATTCTTCGAGCAAAATTGTGTGTGTAACGTGATAGCCAAATGTCAAGATTCATATATTTTATAAGTTATCGTAAAGACCATTGGTGATTGCAAATATATTTAAAAAACATATTTCACCCAGGAATGGATGCGACTTTCTTCATGTTTAGAAAATCACTCTACTCGAGTTGATGTTAAATAGTAAGAGTTCAGATGCAAAGTTAACTGGTGGAAGCCTTTTGTTCTTTACGGCTCTTTAAGAGGACTTCGGATGTAGAAAGGAGAAGACACGAGCGCGGTCACAGGAGATCACACTACTAGCGGGTAGTTGGACTAAGAAATAACTTGAATGAATGTACTTCACACCGGCCCACCGACTGCAACTTTATAAGGCACAGGTTAGGTCTCACATGGAGTACTGCTCTCATCTTTGGGCGGGGGCACCCCAGTACCAGCTTCTCCCTTTAGATCGCATCCAGCGCCGAGCGGCTCGAATCGTCGACGACCAGGACCTTTCCGATCAGCTTGATCCTTTGGCTTTGCGTAGGGATGTAGCTTCACTCTGCATCTTCTATCGCATTTATCACGGAGAGTGTTCTGAGGAATTGTTCGGATTAATTCCAGCTGCTGCATTTCGCCATCGTACATCGCGACAAAAATTTCATCCCCATCATCTTGATGCGTGGCTATCCACAACCGTGCGTTTTTGTCGCAAGTGTCCATGGGCGACGGTGATCACTTGCCATCAGGTGAGCTGTCTGCTCGTATGCCCCATATAACATAAAAAAAAAACTTACCAAAATTTCTATACTTAGACGAGTTAATTAAAGCTTTAATTACAACGGTACTCTACGCATTTCGAAAAATATTTTTAATACTTTTGATTAATAATTATTTGACTAAAAAAAATCTTGAAACTTGATCTAATGGCATTGGATACGTAACAGGATGTCGTGTCTGTGTTAGCGATTTCCACATAACATAAACTTTTTACCATATTATGAAGTGCTAGTATGAAAAACACTCTCATTGCATTTAGTATTTCTTTGATCCAAAATAGCAATCCTAAAGGTAGCTTACGTACAATATTATTCTTGAAAATTATCTGCCACCGGGCGTTACCAATCTGAACTAATTGTTTTATTATATTTTTATTAAAATTAACTGCTCTGTTTATAAATTTATAGAATTCTTTTTCTACTCTAAATTTTCTTTACTCTGAATAAGTTGCTGATAAACTTGTTTCCACTCAACTGCGAGTGAGCGAGGTGTTATAATAATAGAAAATAAGTGTCTGAAGCGACTTCTCATATCTGCTCTTGTTTTGCATTCTTTTTTGAAGTGAAAACTTCTTTAGCGGCGTTGCACACTTTTTTTTGTATGGGTAAAAAATGTTAAACTCGCGTCAGGTTAAACACGTGGGCTGATCATCATGACACACAATAAAATTGGAAAGGTTGTTTACTTTCAATATATTAGACGAAACATAGTAATATTTATTTTATCGTATTATAATAATGAGCTTTATTGCGAAGAAAATGCATTTTTTTTACAATAGATGTCGCTAGGTGCGCTCAAATGTGATTCATGTAAGTTGATTTCTTTACAATAGATGTCGCTAAGTGCGCTTAAACGTGATTCATGTAAGTTGATTTTCTGGGAGATAAACTGTTTTAATGTTATTTAAATTGTCATGTTTGTGTACGATAGCGCAATAAATAAATATTGTATTCTACCACATACATGATAGTACTTTTATACTGATAATTAAAGCAATTCGTGCAAAATTATTCCCTAACCATTCCAAAATATCAAAAATGCACAACGTTAATATTCAAGTTTTCACTTCTGCTGGCACTCCCGGGGTGCAACCCGTCTTTTTTTTTTATATAGATAGGTCCGACAAATGACTCCACCCCACCTGATGTTAAGTGAAGGAAATCCAGACGCGAAGTTTTACTAGTTGTCTAATATAATGGCCTTGTTTCCACCCAGGCAGTCAAGCGCGAGAGTGAGCGAAAAATTATAGAAATAGAAAATAAGTTTCGGAAACAACTACTTATATTTCTTGTTTTCCATTCTTTTACTTAGTTTTCTAATGTACTTGTTTCTATCGTAGTTAAGTGGTTAGCGCGTTCGGCTGCGATCGTTGAACTTAAGCAACTGTCGCAATGGTCGGTCATTAGATGGGTGACCAAAAATTATTATCTCGAGCTCCTTCGTGCTTCGGAAGGGACTTTAAGCCGTTGGTCCTGGCTGCAACTGCAGTCATTAGCACCCACCAATCCGCGCTGGGCCCGCGTGGTGAGTCATGGCCCAATCTTCGTATTCCATCCATAGGGAAGGCCTGTGCCCCAGCAGTGGGGACATTAATAGGCTGATGATGAATGAGATGTTATGGTAGCCATACACACTACGAGAAATCGTTACGATTAGACTGTACCGTCCGAACGGTACCGATAAATCGTAGCGTGTATGTTACAAAACTGCACAGTTTCCTATACGTACGCCACGTACGATAAACTGTGCCGTTCGAACTGTACAGTCTGGTCGTAACGATTTCTCGTAGTGTGTATGGCTACCATTACAGAAATAGAAACTAAGTTTCGGAAGCAACTACTCACATCAGATATTGCTCTCAATTCTTTTACTATTTGTCTGATGAACTTGTTTCCACCCAGGTAGTCAAGCGCGAGTGAGCGCCATGTCTTCAGTGCGGACGACGCGAGGGTCCCGCGTGCGGCTGGAGTGTAAGGCCAGCGCGCGGCCTCCACCACGGATCACGTGGTACAAGGACGGGAAGCCAGTCACAGAGATCGCGTTGAGGCGATTCCGGGTGCAGAAATTCAGGTGAGGATTCAGTTAGGATTACCAACTTTTTGTCGTGTTTTCGTCTACCCCCTCCACGCGATCGTAATGGTAGCTACACACATAATCGGTTCAGGAGTATTTATTTCACCTTTTTGCCACAGACCCACCAGAGAGACGGCAAAACGCCACAGATATACCGTAGAGGTCCCGCAAACTCGTACTAAACGGTTTGCTTCCACCTATATCGTCAGAATAGCTAGGTTGTGGAACTCTTTGCCGGAATCTCTGTTTCCAGTCACCTATAATCTGGGGCTCTTCAAGTTGCGAGTGAATCGGTTTCTTCTAGGCAAGCGCGTCCCACCTTAGGCTGCTACGTCGCTCTTCATCAGGCGAGTGGCCATGAAGCGTAAACCTATTTAATGTAAAAAAAAATATTGGGGTTTTGGCGGGATTTCATCGAGTGCGGTTGGCGTCTTATTTTAATTATTCTTAAATTCGTTCATAGTGGATATTGTGTAATAAAATTGGTGTGGTTTTGTGTAACAACTGTCTGCGTAACTGAAGAATTAGTGGAATCATTAAAATATACGCTATTCCGGTCAAGTGGACGTGAGAATTTTATTGTAGTGTTGACTACCTCTCTGTGAGGTAGTCAACACTACAATAAAATTCTTATCGAAAAAGCCAACTCGATACATTTCGTGCCAAACACTCCAAGAAACATTAGAATGCGTCACACCGATATTCTAATGTAAAAACAAAAAGAAGATTAATTTAATTAAAGACCAGGCTGTATGGGCATTGTTCCCTTTGCCTTCCCTAAAACGGGAGAACTTCAACAAAAAAAAAATGTCGTTCAACAAAGCCGACCTGTAGTAGATACTGCCGAAAATTCATCTACATATTTTCGATTTTACCGCCCGGCTGTGCCGGTTAGTGCCGGCCCGATTATGTGTGTAGCTACCCTTGCGACCGCATGGCGGAGGTAGACGATATTATCGCGCGGTGAGAGGCGGCCACTTGTCCGTTGAAGTTTTACTTCTGCTGTGTGTCACAGCGCACATTTCGATTTTTTTCTAGCAAATATAGTATTATAGCTATTAACAGGATTGTTACCATGTACCTTGTTTTTTATGAGTGTCCGATATTTCGGCACTGTTGCAAGCGCCATAATCACGGAGTAACTGAAGTAATTGCGGGTAGATGTTATTGGCAGACATATCGGTAATAGCTATAATGTTAGTGACCATGAAAGTTTAAAACAATATATCAAATATAGTATTTTTATAACTTTAACATCCTAAAATATTTAAGTCGACAAAAAAGTGTGACTTCCTCTTCTTCATTACAAGCCTTTCCAAAAGTTGTTTAACTTCAACGATCGCAGACAGAAGTAATACATACTAATTAAATTGAGCATATAGGACATTATGGCAACTGTATCATTATTGATACATTTGCTTGAAGGCAAATAAATAGTTGAATGAAAATCTAATAACATTAGAGATCAACGCAAAGAACGAGTAGACATAGGAAAATATAGTTAACAGTCATATTTTTTATTTCTCAAACATATAACTGCTAGGTGTTTAAATCTAAAGAAAATTTTTACGAGAAAAAATTACACGCGGACCAGGCAGCAGACGGGACTCGAAACCGCACCCTCAGCTATCCAGGCGGATGCACTGATCATTATGCTACTGCGGCCCTGATGGCCATGTCGAATTCTTTCTAGTATTTCTTAGGCTGCAAGGCAGCGCCATCTCTTTGCATTGTAGGTAACCCACAACGTCAAATGAATACCTTTACAAGTAGTAAACATTTGAAAGGAGAAACTCCTAAAATACTACAATTCATGTGTTTAATGAGCAGTATTAGTAGTTTCTAACTAATTTAATATTGGTATTTTTGTAACTAATATGACGGGATAAAATTGCTAATTCGCAATATTCCTAAGAGGATAAACACAGGCTATATGTATGACCTATTTAGCATTCGCTTGTTGATCTTGATCCTAAACTACTTAACATGGCATGTTTGTATCAACTGTAGAACAATCTGCGATTTAGCCAAACAAATGGTGCTTGCATTCAAACTGCGTCCGCGTTTAATGATCATTGCACACTCGGTTACTGCAAACAGATTGAGCTAATCGCAACTGCAAGCTGCTGTCATTGACCGACCTGAAGCACTACAGTCAGTGTCATAGCTATTAAATAACAGTCCTTATTACCAACACAAAAAGGTGTCTCATGATGCATTTAACGGTGCGGGGACACGCTGTTAAGAGTAATTATGACGAAGTGACGCGGACAACAATTTCACGGGTCGTTTAAGTTTAACATCGGAACGGGATCATTGCTTGTTGCTTACATGATAACTAACTGGATGACTCTTATTCGCCATACTCTCGCAGTATCCTGAATTTATTTATTTATAGGTACATCAACAGCATAGCATACAAGACATTTACAATATATAGAGGGTGATTTTACTGTTTATATACGTTTGCCAATAGGGATGATGACTATTTTTTTTCTTCGTTTATCAGGTAGATTATCAAAAAGTATTGGACACGTATTTTTTATTTTTTCACAGAATATTATAAACATATATTGATTTGAAAATTCACATGACGTCACGTTTTTCAATTAAACAAGTACAATTTCACTCGAAAGTGACGTCACGTTTTTTGGTTGATTGCCCTAAGAAAAAATACGTGTCCATTATTTTTTGATCATCTAACTGACGGACTAAATAGAATTTCGTTTACTGTACCCCGTCATCACCCCTAACATTTTTACCATATCTTTAACATTAATCAAAAAAAAAAGAAAACAAAAACATTATTTATAACAATAACTGCTATTATGACTTTTTGGCAGGATCGGGAAGCGTTACTTTAGCAGTTTCGTTTTTCTTGTTAAAAATTGTGTTGTGACGGATGTTAGTGTCTAATAATGGTGGATTATTAACCACTAAGTGTTCGGGAACGTGCACAAGTGTTGGCAAGTGAAACAAAATAGCGGAAAGTGTCTTTCGACGTTCCCTCAAGAAGTCCACGGACGGGGAGGTTCCAGTAAATCCCCACACATTTACTGAAACATAGGGAAAGGGGGATTGACTTGACTGCCACTTACTTTGACTTGATTTATTACTTTGACCACGAGTGCTATAGAATTTGTCAACATTTTGTAACACTTGACGTTGGCTAAATGCAAGGAAAAAAAACTGCTATTATTGATTTATTAATGTTTATAATTGTCAAGAACACAAAAGAAAATAGTCATACTACGCCAAATGCCAAATGCATACTGGGAGACTGAAAAAGAATCAATAATTTGTTTTTGAAAATTCGCGAAGAATGTACGCGTTATCGTATTCTAGCTATGGGGTAATGAATCCCCAAGTTTGATTTGTGACTCGGTGTATTAAATATTTCGCCTACTTTATAGCGTGGGTATCTACAGGGTACTACTTTATTTTTGAAGTTATACTTCTTTAGGCGCGTTATGAAAAAATGATGAGAGTGAAATTTTAAAATGCGCGCGCATCACTGTAACACAAAATTTTAACAGCATGAAGTTGGTCCAACCAACTTCATGCGTTACTTTTGTGTTTACCGCACATTAAGAAAATCTACCAACTAAATAGAAATAGAATCTCTATTTAGTGGATGCTAACGACTGCATTGTGAAGGCCTATCAAAAGTATTTATTAATCTGGAACAACGGAACCAAAGCGCGATTCAGGAGACTACAGCGCCATCTCTTGACCATTGGTGTAGTAGAACCAAAAACCACATCTTTATTTTTTGTAATAAAGTAACAGCTATAACTGTTACTATTAGTATTCATGTTTATAATATTTATCCACATGTTTCTAGTTTGTATATTCGGAATACGTGTTTGAGTTTCATATAAGTGCAAATCACATATGTTCTAATAAATTATATTCAGTAGCGATTTTAATTGAATATTTTGATTATTTATTTATTTTTTCAAATTAAAACTGAACTTTATTGACTGTGTCCTTTTCCAGACTTTTTATTAATTTATTGTAATTAATTATTTGCATGCAATTAAAAACTAATTTTAAACGATGCCAAAGAAGGATAACTTCTCCCGCGCCTACATAAGTACACGCACCCATTTTTTTTTATAAAGGTACATTAAACAGCCAAAGGCCAGCAAAAATGTACACAGCTGGAATAACATAAGTAAAGCTTAGTTACTAAAAAGAAAACATAAAAACAAAGAAAAAAAACACTGATGAAATAGTCTTCATCCTAAGTGATGAAACAAAGTGGGCGAAAGGGATGAAAACTTGATTTTACCAGAGAAAAGTCACTAACTGTACCCTTTGTACGAGTTTTACAATTACGAAAACTATGATAGTTTTCGTGAGCTCGCACTCGTTGATTATTTTGTTTTCGTTTCAATACAAATAAACAGTGTTTAAATTCTATCATTAAATCATTTGTGTGTTCTTAAATTTTAAGTATATTTGGACACATTTCACGAAAATGGACATAGAAACATAATTTACAATTACGAAAACTGTGATAGTTTTCAGATCTCAAACTCGTACTAAGGGTACTGGGTACAAGTCTTATAAACATTCATGTATCTGCAATCAACCAAAATGAAATAAAAGTATGCATAAAATAAACAATAAATATATACCTATATATGTTTATATATTTAAAAATTAAACTGAATTTGAAATACTGGATGTTCATTGGTATGTTAAGTCAGCATGGATCTCATTGTGTCGAAATTCTCTTTTCCCTGAACGCATTTATACGAAGTGCCTTTATCAATTACTCCCCGTTTTTTATTTATTTATTCAATATTTTCAATGGAGTTTTGCAGAATATTGTGTGAACTAAAAATGTTCTCGTGGAAAAAGTAACAACAGATTAAGTGCTAATTTTGGTAAACCGAATTAATGAGCTTCAAAGATTTCAAAGTTAAAATTTGTCGATGTGCGTTTTTTATACTATGAGTATAATATTCAAACTGAAAATATTTCGATGCATAGTAATCTTTTTTTTTTGATATACTTTTTTACGCCTAATTCATCTAAGTATTAAAGTTAAGTTCAGAATAATTTCATTTTTCAATAACGTACTACGCGACAGATTTGTCGTTTGATAGGTACTTTAATCCGATTTGGTTCGGGTGAAAGAAATTGCACAATAAGATTAATTCGATATAATTTTAAAAAGTATTGTTTAACATCAGACTGAAAAATACAATCTGAAAATTAAAATCCTAATATTTATCTTATATTAAATTATTACTTTAATAATCTTCATTTTCCATTTAGAAATCAATAGATCTATCAAGCCCGTAAAATCATCTTGTACATCAGTGGGCCAATCGCCTAACCAGATTGCTTTGGAAAACGCTATCGCTTACGATTTCATTTTGTTATTTCTAACCGCCGAAGGTTTTCAAATACCTCACGCTCATTTTCTTTAACATTGTTATTACCAATGCAAAAGAAAAAAAAAGAGCGCGAGGCATTTGAAAACCTCAGGCGGCTAGAAATAACTAAATGAAATCGTAAGCGATAGCGTTTTCCAAAGCAATCCAGTTAGGCGATTGGCCCCCAGGAGATCCATTTTATTTTTCTTATCTCTTAACTGGCAGCAGACGGTATGAGGTGAAGGAAGGTTTTCAAATCATCCAGCTTAGGTTGAGAAATAAGTTTTCCTTCTAGCCAAAGTTGCTCATAATGACGACCTCCGTGGCCGAGTGGTTTGTACGCCGGGTTTCATGGTGTCACCGACTCGAGAGGTCACGGGTTCGAATCCCGGTGGGGGCAGATGTTTGTGTGATGAACAGGAGCATTTGTACTCCAGTCCTGGATGTTTAATATGTATTTCTATAGAAATATACTTATTTAAATACAGTATATGTATTCTATCCGTTACCCTAGTATCCCATAACACAAGCCTTATAGTGCTTACTTTGGGGCTAGGCTAATTGGTGTGTGTTGTAAAAAATAATAGATTTTTTTGAACTGGTCACTTTTTTCGCACATATAATAGAGCCTCCAAGTCTTCCATTCTTGCTTTCAACAGAGTGGATGCCCAGCGTGTTGCACATACTAGCCACGTTAACGTATCCTACGGGCTCCCGTAGTTATTGGCGTTTGGCTGAAGCCGTGCCAACCACTGAGACAAAACAATTTCTACCCTCGCTGCCATCTCTGCAATGTCCAAATGGATCACTAGCTCAAAAGCCGCAGCAAGAAGGCGATTTAATGGCAAAGTTTTTTGCAGCGATCTCCTCAATACATGATTGTAATGCACAGCTACACCTTCATTACCTCATTGTGACACTACGATGCCTGATGGGAATATTCATTGCTCCCAAAAAAATTTTTTAGCTATTCTGCTATAACGAATTAAACGTAACACGAGTGGTGATAAGTATTTAAGAATAAAACGCCATTTGAGTTAGTCGATTTGATAATGCGTTTGAAAGACCACTGAAACCAGAAAAATAAAATGGATTTATCTATAACTTGCTTGCGTTTAATTCGTTTATTCAATTTGGAACATTGTTTGTGTATTTTGCAACATTAACTTTGGCGTACAATTTTTTAGTACGAAACGAAATTATGCACAAGTTCTAGCAAATTTTGACTTGTCGCCTGATTCAAACCCTTATTTTACAGTAATAAGACTATTTTTTTTATTTCAGAACAGTTCTGTTGAACAGCTTCATTTTGAGAGAAGTTTGAATTAAGTTGATATTTCTGAGAGATAAACTTTTTTAATGTAATATAAATTGTCATGTTTGTGTACGAAAGCGCAATAAATAAATATTGTATTCTACCACATAAATGATAGTACTTTTATACTGATAATTAAAGCAATAGGGATGATGACTAATTTTTTTTTCTTCGTTTATGAGGTAGATTATCAAAAAGTATTGGACACGTATTTTTTCTTTTTTCACATAATATAAACATTGCAGAGATATATTGATTTGAAATGTCGCATGACGTCACGTTTGAGTACACTTATAAGTGAAAATTCACTCAAAAGTGACGTCACGAGCCCCTTCTCCCAAACTTTGACGCGCTATAACTTTGTCATTTTTTGGTTGATTGCCCAAAGAAAAAATACGTGTCCATTATTTTTTGATCATCTAACTGACGGGCTAAATAGAATTTCGTTTACTGTACCCCGTCATCATCCCTATTCGTGCAAAATTATTCCCTAACCATTCCAAAATATCAAAAATGCACAACGTTAATATTCAAGTTTTCACTTCTGCCGGCACTCCCGGAGTGCAACCCGTCGTTTTTTTTTTATTAAATATGCTGCGCGTATGTTAGCGGTTTTGGCCGCCGAAAATGTCTTAAGTCTCTATATCTCTAGCATTTTCGCTGCCTATGCCTGACTCCTAGCCGAACCTAGTGCGTGAAGGTTAGCAGTTTTAACAGTAGGTTTCTTGGTTTCCAGGAGGCGCTCGGTACTAGTGATAAGGCACGCCAAGTTGGAGGACTCTGCGACGTACGAGTGCAGGGCGCAGGGCGCGGTTGGACCCCCTGCCATCGCCACGGCCAACGTTACCGTGATGCTGCCCAGCACACAGGCGCCAGATACATGTCAGTATCTCTTATCATCATATCATTTCAGGATCAGGATCCAAGGGCGGATCCAGGGGGGGGGGGTCATGGGGGTCATGACCCCCCCCCCCCCCCTGGGCTGGGTACAGATGAACCAAACCCAGGGGGATTTTATTTAAGTACTTTCAATATTTATACCACGACTATATGACCCCCCCCTGGCGCCAAAGCTGGCTATATGACCCCCCCCTGGCGCCAAAGCTGGATCCGCCCTTGCAAGGATCTCCACATCGATCGGTCCTTCGCCATGCATCCATCCGCTTACTGCGACCTTCACCAAATCGTCGATCTACCGAGGTCCGAGGCGTGGCCGCCATTCGAGAACCTTTTCACCTGCACTTCAGCTAAGCAATCCTTCGAGCGATGTCGGTTCCTTTAGTTCTCCTGCGGATTTCCTCATTTCTGATTCGTCATCATCATTAGCTATTAATGTCCCCACTGGTCACAGGCCTGCGCCACAGCGGTGGCATAAGTGGGTCATATCCCTTTTTGGCGCCGTGATGCTGCCCAGCACACAGGCACCAGATACATGTCAGTATCTCTTATCATCATATCAGCCGTACGATGCCCACTGCTTAGCATAAGACTCCCCAAGATCTCCACATCGATCGGTCCTTCGCCATGCATCCATCCGCTTACTGCGATCTTCACCAGATCATCGGTCTACCGAGGTCCGAGGCATGGCCGCGAGCAGAGAACCTTTTCGCGAGCACTTCAGTTGAGCAATCCTTCGAGCGATGTCGATTCCTTCAGTTCTCCTGCGGATTTCCTCATTTCTGATTCGTCATCATCATTAGCTATTAATGTCCCCTCTGGTCACAGGCCTGTGCCACAGCGGTGGTATTAGTGAGTCATATCCCTATCCAATGTAACCGTGCTACTGCCTATGATACAAATGCGCCGGATACAAGTCAGTATCTCATTTCATCATCATTAGCTATTAACACACCACTGCTGTGGCACAGGCCTTCAGGATAGGGCTATGACCCACCAAGGTCACCGAGAATGCCACCGTGCTGCCGCATACCACACAGGCGCCAGACACCAGTTAGTATAGTTCCCTTATCATTATAATTAATGTGCCCACTACTGTAACACAGGCCTTCCTTATGGATAGATAGGACGATGACCCACAAATACCATCGCAAATGTCACCGTGCTGTTGCACTCCACGCAGGCGCCAGACACCAGTTAGTAAACCTAATTCATCATTATCCTATTTATGCCTCCACTGCTGTGCCACAGTCCTTATTTATACATGCATGAACGGGCTATTTAAATTACCCCCGCTGCTCACCACGCAGGTGCCAGACACCAGTCGTACTGACTGGTTCGTTCTATCATCATCAACATCAGTCAATCAATGTCTCTACTACTGTGGTACAGGCCTCCCCTATGGTTGGATGGGACCATAGCCCATCAATCCGCTCCAACGGCTTAACGAAGCTCGTGGATGTACACGCATCATTGGTGATGTAGATGTAACCATCAACCTTGAGGCTCTACAATTACGCTGCGATGTGGCATCATTAAGCGCATTTTACCGACTACACCACGGCGAGTGTTCTAAGTAGTTCTTCTCCCTTCTTCCCCTTTCCTTCGGAGGGCCACGTGCGCTTGCCAACGTTATTACCGACTTACTGTGGCCACTATCCCTACACGAGCACAGAAATTTGATAACTAATTTTTTTGTCCTATTATTCGAAGTGGAATAGGGTATTTGACAAGTTTTTTAAAACGATCTCATGTTATTTACTAATGTTTATGGAGTGCATAAAAAGGAAATTCGTCATTATGTTGTGTATTTCGGTAAAAAAGCTAAATCAAAAACTCTATTTTCAAGTTGCCGCGAAAAACGTATCTCTGGACAATATGGCGTCTCACTGGTGTGTGACGTCACACGACTGTCAACATCAAACCATACAATCTAATGTCACTTTAACCGGAAGTTTACTTGCGTGTGATGTCATTTTAGGCTCCACCAATCCCAAGCGTTTTGGGTCACGAGACAAAGACTAGAAAACTATTATCTTTATCGTGGGTTTTTAGTAAAATTATGAATATTTTTTCCGTAAAAATAGTAAAAACTCCGTCCAATACTCATTCTAAATACAGATTCTAACAATTGGCACTTATTTTTAATACTGTCAAACACCCTATACTTTGCCTGCGCTCGTGTTCATTCCTACAATCAAAGGTCCTTAAAAAGAGGCGTGAAGATTCTACCTTACTTATAATTTTCCGATCCTACCTTACAAAAAATAACAGAATGGTGATTTGATGTTATAATTTTTCACTGTTACAGCGTCATTTGGTGCTCCGTGTCCAATGCCAGATCCCTCTTCGTACTGTCTCAACGGAGGCACCTGTTTGTACTTCGAGCCAGTCAGAGAACAGGCTTGCAAGTGAGTACAAAATACAATGTGCATCGTTCTTTATATTCCTGTGATTGAAATGGGAAATTATTCATGGTTTATGAAATCTTTCAGATTACACTCGCACAAAAACTATTTTGTTTGATAGTTTACAGAAGTTCTTAATCATTGACAAAGTATACTAACTGCAATGTCGATTCTGTGACATGCAATTTCATTCTTCAGCAGTCATTGCGAAAATTCACTTTTTCACAGAATGAATTTGACTTATATCTGAAATAATAGATATAATATACCCGAAACGATAAATTTTGTTCAATCTATAATAATATCGCATTACTCTTACAGATGTCCAGAAGGCTTCAATGGGCAGCGGTGCGAAAACAAGGACGTTTCCAACAGGAGCAGTATGTATCAACACCCATATACGTGCAAACTGGGCCTATCCACGTCCTACTATTGTTAGCCAAAGCACCGCTGCGTCTGCGCAGAACCCACCTTGTTTCCAATATTGAGTTAAAAGTTTAGCGCGCATTCCTTGTGCTTGTGGAAAATCCCCCGAGTGTTTTCACATTGGCGAAAATTGCAGTTACTTTTTTGCCGGCAACTTTTTAGTTAATAATTTATTATTAGCTAAATTGTTACCGACAATAACACATTGTCCAACTTTCATAATGGTGAAAAAAAATTATATAGGTACCTATCACTTACCGTCTTTATCGGGCTTTTTAGTGAAATTAGAACGAAAGATCGCATTTTGTTGTTATTTTAGCACTCCTTCTAAATGAGAAAGAATATATTCCAGAAACAATAGAAGCCAATGCGAGCGCACCCATAAAGCAATCAACACAGGGCCGTAGCTAGGGGGGTATTATGGGGCAATGGCCTACCAAATAATACCACTGCCCTACCTTAAACCGAGTCGGCAGTCTGTGAAGGGCGGTACGCCCGCTCTTATTTATGCTCTACCTATAATTACCGCTACCCTATCTTAAATACAACTCTGGCTACGGCCCTTTTGCAACAGCTAAGCATTTGTTTGTATATAGAATAGTCGGGCCCTTTTCCACATCACAAGGAGCTATGTTATTAGCAAAGATGAACTGTATTGTACTTACAGCCAGTTTTTGCTCTGCCTGAATAAGTAGCGTAAACATGCCTATTTGTTTTTTTATAAAGGGGGGTCAGCTGTTGACCTTCTGCTGTTGTAAATAATTCCGAATCTCTCTCTCATCTCGTTGGATGATGAGGTAATGGCGATGATTCCATTTTATTTTTTAATTTATAGTAGTTACTTTTTAATAGGTGCTAATTTCTGTCCCTTCCATTTTATAGGGAAATAGCTGACCCAGTGAGATTAATTAAAATTTAGGAATTAATTTCTATGTTCCATGTTTTTTTACGATTATTTTCATGATATTGAAAAGAACTGAACGCATTCGAATCGAGCTTGCTCTTTGATTAAGCGAAAGCAAATATAATACGTGTCAATAAGTATTTCCTTTTGATTGATGCTTTTAAAAACGAGAAAATTTTTAAGTATTTAATATTTTACTAGCTTTCATTCTTTTTTTAATATTTAATATAAAACCTACTTACAGAAATGCCTTTTTATGAATTTACGTTAATATTACTATTATGTATAATTTTCGCCTAATAATGAAGTTGTAAATATTTTAAACATATTATTGTAATATTGCGAGCTATTTTATTGTTATTTTTTTAAATTAAGAATTGACAATTTCGTAGCTGGTACGTCCTAATGATGAGACTTGCAAGTTATGTACATATCTATTAGGATAAGTCGTTTTTTAAATGTACTTTTAAATTTATAATACATGGAATAGGTTGGTTGCTATACTCATTTTAACTCGATTGCACATTATAGTAGAGATCTTTTTTTCTTTAATAATTTCGTGCGAGTATGGCCAGTGACAATAAAATAATCTTTTGACATTTCATATACCACCTAGTCATAATTCAGTTTTAATAGCTAGATAGGTCTAGGTGATTTATTATGTATAATTTTTGAGTATTATTCGGAAGAATGGTTGTGGATAATAGATAATTGATAATAGAACATGTATTGGTTTAATATTTTGCAAAATTCTTATTTTTTCCTTTAGTCAAATTATTATCACATTTAATTAGTAATTTATCAGCTGCTTGGGACCGAATACTCACAGAAGTAAATGCGCAGTTTAGTTAGTTTTTTTATTATTATTTTGTAAAAAGTTTTTTCTACTTTTTAATTTTTAAGTTCATTATTTATGTGTAATTTAAACAGAATGATTATTTATTTTAACACTTTATAAGGACTAAGGGGCATTAAAGTCTAACGAAATGACGTCATTTAGCACATTTATACATAGGTAATAAAGCTTTATATATCCAACTCGATTACTAATTTCTTGAGTAAACAAACAATGTTATTTCAGATTTAGTATTTTTTTAGTTTCAATGACGTCATTCCGTACAAATAATAATTCGAGTATGTATTCTCACAACAAATATTAAGACGCGATAAGTCAATGTAATGAAATATACCAAAATCCAAATAAAAGAATGAGTGTTGGAATTAACCAGAGAGACGATAATTTGTTTTTTTTTCATATTATTTAATTTATTCATTTATTCATGTTATATTCCTAAATCCTGAAAGAAAGGGCTCGAAATGTTGGCATCAAAAATGGTACGTATTTTCTAAATTTTATTTTATGTCGTGCACCGATTAATTTAACACTCCGCACTCATTTAACGAAATGTAAACAATGTAACTTTACATTTAAACTTTTATATGTGGGTACCAACGTAATTATGTTATATTATTTTGTTAAATAGGAATATTCAATGAAAACATTTATTTTAATATTATGTTATATCAATGTCAAAGTTACATTTTGTGCATCTCGTCTAATACAGTATTTAGTGACTAATGCTTAAAAATGATGAAATCGTTACTAATAAAATGGTATATTACATGCATGGTAATTAATGGGCACTCATTAAACTTAATCATTTGTTGTGAGATAATAAAAGAAATAATATTTTTTGCATGCGTATTGTATTTTTACTAAATAAATATGTTTAAACGCGTTAAAATAATATTTTTTTTTCTATTAACAGGTAAAGGCGATCCACTATGGTAATCAAGATAAAAAAAGCATTCCCATGAAAAAAAAAATTATACCAAGTTGTTTGCGATGAACATTATTAGTTGCTTAATTAATTGCCTTATTGATATCGAAGTCCCACCAATTGTTTAACAATACAATGATGTCGATTCTGGCATGATTCTCTAAAGCTAAACTTAAATTTGACAACAGTGCGTCCTTGCCATTCTCTATACAGAATGAAAAGGAGAGACTGATGTTAAATTTAGTTTTAAGTTTAGAGAATCACTCTAGAATCGACACCAATGATGTCGATGCTGGAGTGATTCTCTAAACTTAAAACTAAATTTAACATCAGTCTCTCCTTTTCATTCTGTATAGAGAATGACAAGGATACCCTGCTGTCAAATTTAAGTTTAGATTTAGAGAATCGTGCCAGAATCGATACCAATGGTGCCAATTCTGGTGTGATTCTCTAAACTTAAACTAAATTTAACATCCATCCCTCTTTTTCATTCTGTATAGAGAATAACAAGAATAGACTGTTGTCAAATTTAAGTTTAGATATAGAGAATCGTGCCAGAATCGACACTAACCTACCTATTTAAATTTTTAAATGTTTCAGAATTAATCAAAATTGCGAATACCCATGTGTTTAGATGTAAAAAGCATTGTTATTTAGGTAATACTTAGAGGTAGCGTACCAAACTATTGTAACATATTTTTTTATTATTTAATTGTAAGTTTATTTATGTACTCTGGTGCTTAATCGTGACATATAGTGCGAATGTACTTATTGTGAGAAATAATGTTTACTCTTGCAATGTCTGTAACATTAAAAGGTAATTAAGCAAACTTATATCTGCTGTCAAACTTACTTTAAGTTACGCGTTCATAGAACTCCAGAATCAATGACACTAATATAATTTAATAAAAAAATCGATTGAAATATATAAAAAGTGTATGTATAGAGCCTGTGAGAGAAAATGACTTGAACTTTCTGCTACATTCAGTAGCTGGCAGCAACCCCACTGGCATGCCTGGGCCTATGCATACTCAGGGCTGGATTAAGGGCAGCCATGGGGGCGCCCATGGGCCTCTACAAACGGGTCACCAACCACGGGGTGCTAATACATCGTGGGGAAGCTATCATATCGTGGGGATCATAAGTGATACAGAGTGACAGATTTTCAAATATGCATGCCTGCGCTGGCAACAATCTCACTGGCATGCCGGCGCTAGCACTATTATTATTGCCAGTTCAGTTGTGAATGCCAAGAAAAGTAAGCACGGTGATGGTAAAATGAGTTTGGTGACTCATTTCTTTGTCGCAATATCCGTAAATGGAATGCTCTGCCCGCTCCACGTTTTCCCTACCTTTTACAACCTGGGAGTCTTTAAAAGAGGCGTGAAGAAGCAACATGCAGGCCGGCAGGGTGAGGATGGCTGGTGTGGCAGGTAGAACTGCTGTATCAGCTATCTTCGCGTCTGGACTTCACCGCACTTAACATCAGGAGGGGTGGAGTCATTTGTCGAAAATCTCAAAAAAAAAGTACCTAACTGGCCTAGCATTGTTAGGCTATGCTACTACGCAAACAGTAATACTGTAAGTCTGCCATTAAAATTACTGATATGGCATCATGGATGGTGATTTTAAATGTGAAGCTAACTCTTCCTATCGTATTAATACAAAATGCTCATGCCTGGCTAGCGTCTGTAGGTGGTTGATAAAGTTTTTCCCTCTGTCTACAAACAGATTACACAGACGAATACATACGGTTGCCCCTTAGAAAAATCCGTGTCCTCAGGGCCGTATTAACATTAGGGCCAAGAGAGACACGCGACTTCGTACGCGTGGAGTTAGTTAGAAATAAAGGTTCACTGCTCGTTCCCCGTAGGTGAAAGCGTGATAATATGTAGAATCAGAATCAGAAATTTTATTGAATTTCATGTGGTAAATAGCCTATATGTTGACCCGACTTCTAAATAATATTCGTGCCAAATTTGAAGTAAATCCATGCAGTACTTTATCCCGGACATACATACAGACAAACGTACAAAAAATCTAAAAATTGTTTTTTGGCTTCGGTATCGATTGTAGATCACACCCCAAGTATTCTTTAAAAAAACTATTCAATGTACAGTTTTGACTTTCCTACAATTTTATTAAAAGTATAGATCACAACTTTATAATCGGTATGTAGTACCTACCTAACAAACACGCGGTTGACTTTCAATAATATTGAGAATAGTTTATAAAAAACTACGTTCCTGATAATCTATTAAAGTAGGTACAATTAGGGCCGAATTTAAGGCAGAACTATGGCCCAGGGGTCTTGTAGCACCCAGTTTTTTTTTCGAAATATCACCAAACCAGGGCCGTGGTGCAAATTCGGACCTTTAAGGTTCTCCACTCCTTTGTTGCAATAGGGCCCACACCTCTAAATACAGCCCTAGATACAATACATCATGAGGTTATGATGAATTAAGCAGCGTTAGCCATTTCAAAAGTACTCAGAAATTATCTATAAATGTTAAGTTGTATTAACGTATTTTGTACAGTATTATCTGCTGAATAGTTCTATTTATTTTCTTTGTCTAATAATATCTTATGTGTAAGCGCTTTGTTAAAAATATTAAATGAATGATAAAATTGATGACTTCATTATTTTTTAAATTCGTTGAACAGTGAACTTCCTTTGAACCGAATAATATACAACTACTAACACTACAAATCAAGATACAATGGTGTCAAAAATTTTCAATTGATAGTGAAACTAACGTCAAGGAAGACAAATCAGCTCTATTTGAGTTTTTATTAAATAATATGACCTACGGTTGTCTGTCTGTAGGATTATAAATAAAGGGAGAGAATAAAGGACAGTTAATGATTAATTGAGCATGGACTTCTATATAAACTGGGAAAATATCTTGCGCACAGGAGGATCTGGATGGCGCAGTTCAATTGCAGTAAAGCCACTTTCGCAATGGTCGGTGGTTGGATAGGTGACCAAAAACGTTTTATCTTGAGCGCCTCAGTTAGGGAAGCGCGTTAAGCCTTATAGTAGGGGAGCCCCGGATGCTAAAGTTGCAGTTACTAGAGCGTCATGGGGACCTAAAGTTGCAGTTACTAGAGCGTCATGGGGACCTAAAGTTGCAGTTACTAGAGCGTCATGGGAACCTAAAGTTGCAGTTACTAGAGCGTCATGGGGACCTAAAGTTGCAGTTACTAGAGCGTCATTGGATAGTGAAGATTAGGTTCTAAAACGAAAAAATGTTTATGTGATGTTCCATTTCTGTGGGGGATAGAGCTTGTAAAAAATTTCAAAAATGTAAAATAAAACAGTCACCTGGAATTACTCGAGCGCGTCAGATATTAATAGAGTATACTCGCTTTGTGTTTTTGATGAATATAAATCTGACGATTAGATTGGGGAGTGGCTGAGAAAATCGGTAAAAAAATAAATTAGTTATTCGAGCGTGTCAGACGTTGAAAGGGAATGTTTAGTGAACTCAAAACAGTGTTCGATTTAAATTACTGACTATTTGGACGTCACCTACACTCATGACTGATTTTTGAAAATGTTAAAAAAAATTGTTAACTTAAAATACTCCTGCGAGTCAAATTTTTCTACTGTGGTTTCAACTCGATATCAGAGTCACTCTAAATGATAATCTGACCATTATGTAAAGGGATATACGTTATCTGACAATTTAAAACATTTTTGATGTAACAGATTTGGAATAAAACAAAAATTTTTTTGTTCCTTGTGTTTATTACTGGATGTAATAAAAAAAATATGCATACACACATATATAGAAGAGTCAATCGTTTAAATAAAAGAAGATAAAAAATATTATTAAAGAAAAAAAATCTTCATCATCACTGGATTACTCTTCGAGATTGGTTTCCACTTCTTCAACTTCCTCGTCATCTCGTATTTCTGTAAGCAAGAATGGTTATGATACTTCGCAATGTTTTCATTCATTTCATGATATTTAAGAAATAGGAAACGTACCTGAATTCCACGTATCTTCGAAAATGTCAGGTGTTATTACCAATTCTCGTATGCTTTAGGAAGTTGGTTTCCAACAAACCAAGTAGTCACACATATTTTTAATGTTTCTGGTGTAAACTTTTTGAGTTATGCATAGCTTTTTCACAAAATACACATTTAAATTTATTTCATAAAATTCACGAAAATGCTTGAAAACACAACAAATAAACCAAAGCGTCGTCCACCTTCGAAAACGAGCACGTTATTTTGATCAGCTGAGATGGCATCATAGCGTCAGGCGTCAGACGCTAGCGTGGGAACTGTGCGAGAGAGTGAGAGATTGGGAAAGAGTGAGAAGGAATGAGAGGCACGGAGTGGGGAATATACTGCTCTCAGCATCTGTACGCTCCTGCTTATCGATTGTTTTAACTACCTCGCCCCATGAAAACCGTCAGATCAAGTTTTTCTAATTCTGATAGAATTCCCTACAAATTAAAAATAAAATAATCACGCTCCAGTATTTCGAGGTGACATTTTTTTTTACAACTTTGTGACTCCCCCATTTCCTTATGTCACGCTCAAATTGTCAGATTATTGGAATAACACTTTTCTGGATGTACTTAACTTACCTATTCTTAATCTGACGCGCTCGAGTTTTTCTGAGGATTGATTTTTTGTACTAATCTGACGGACTGTCCTAAACGCACCCCCCTATATTAAGGGTTCATATTTGGTAGGGGTACTTATCAGGGTGCAAGCTTTCTCCCTATATGATTTTCTGACGCGTTCGAGCAACTCGCAAAGTCCCCACTTGGGTTCCGGCCGCAGTCGATAGAACCCAATCATCAGCAGCGGCCCAGCGCGTGGCCGCGTAGGTGTATCACGGCCTAATCTCCCTAATCTATCCATAAGGTAGGCCTGAGCCCAAGCAGTAGCGACATTAATAGGCCGATGACGGTACAGTCAATTTCGTAAATCAATTCTCGATCATGGAAATTCTCCTTAAAGAAGTAAATGTAAGTAGTTATTTTAAAAATAAAAGATTTTAAAAAGAACAGATTTGGAATAAAACAAAATTTTTTTTGTTCCTTGTGTTTATTACTGGATGTAATAAAAAAAATATACATACACACATATATAGAAGAGTCAATCGTTTATATAAAAGAAGATAAAAAATATTATTAAAGAAAAAAAATCTTCATCATCACTGGATTACTCTTCGAGATTGGTTTCCACTTCTTCAACTTCCTCGTCATCTCGTATTTCTGTAAGCAAGAATGGTTATGATACTTCGCAATGTTTTCATTCATTTCATGATATTTAAGAAATAGGAAACGTACCTGAATTCCACGTATCTTCGAAAATGTCAGGTGTTATTACCAATTCTCGTATGCTTTAGGAAGTTGGTTTCCAACAAACCAAGTAGTCACACATATTTTTAATGTTTCTGGTGTAAACTTTTTGAGTTATGCATAGCTTTTTCACAAAATACACATTTAAATTTATTTCATAAAATTCACGAAAATACTTGAAAACACAACAAATAAACCAAAGCGTCGTCCACCTTCGAAAACGAGCACGTTATTTTGATCAGCTGAGATGGCATCATAGCGTCAGGCGTCAGACGCTAGCGTGGGAACTGTGCGAGAGAGTGAGAGATTGGGAAAGAGTGAGAAGGAATGAGAGGCACGGAGTGGGGAATATACTGCTCTCAGCATCTGTACGCTCATGCTTTATCGATTGTTTTAACTACTTCGCCCCATGAAAACCGTCAGATCAAGTTTTTCTAATTCTGATAGAATTCCCTTCAAAATAAAAATAAAATAATCGCGCTCCAGTACTTCGAGGTGACATTTTTTTTACAACTTTGTGACTCCCCCATTTCCTTATGTCACGCTCAAATTGTCAGATTATTGGAATAACACTTTTCTGGATGTACTTATCTTACCTATTCTTAATCTGACGCGCTCGAGTTTTTCTGAGGATCGATTTTTTTTACTAATCTGACGGACTGTCCTTAACGCACCCTCCTATATTAAGGGTTCATATTTGGTAGGGGTACTTATCAGGGTGCAAGGTTTCTCCCCATATGATTTTCTGACGCGTTCGAGCAACTCGCAAAATCCCCACTTGGGCTCCCCTACTATTGGGTCCCGGCTGAATCCGCAGTCGACAGAACCCACCCATCAGCAGCGGCCCAGCGCGTATCGTGGTATCACGGCCTAATCTCCCTAATCTATCCATAGGGTAGGCCTGAGCCCAAGCAGTAGCGACATTAATAGGCCGATAACGATCCTGCGCAGACTTAATTATCTATGACCTCTTACTGGTACAGTCAATTTCGTAAATCAATTCTCGATCATGGAAATTTTCCATAAAGAAGTAAATGTAAGTAGTTATTTTAAAAATAAAAGAAAAGAATGAAGCAATCAATTTTACTTAATATTTTAACAGCACTCATTATCATCACTTGCTACATAAATCTACAACTTTATAAAAGTGTTAGATTTTCCAAAAAATATCAATTTAAACTTACGAAAGCACTGGTGTCGATTCGGACATGATGCTCTAAACCTAAAGTTAAATTTGACAACAGTGCATCCTTGTCATTCTCTATACAGAATGAAAAGGAGAGACTGATGTTAAATTTAGTTTTAAGTTTAGAGAATCATGCCAGAATCGACACCAATAGCTACCTATAAATGTATTTACAAAAATACTGCCTTAAACGCATTGCATATTTACTAATAACCCTTTGTTGTAGTAATTAATGCTAACGTTTTACTTGTAGATGAATTTCTTAGAGACTAGCTGTGCCCCGTGGTGTTACCCGCAGTGTATTTGGGAAAATCAACTGTTTTTCCCATGGTAATAAGATATTTTCCCGCAGTAAAACGTAGCCTATGTGTTAATCCAGGGTGACAGCTAACTCCATACCAAATTTTATTAAAATCGCTCCAGTCGTTAAGACCTGAAGAAGTAACAAACATAGACAATCACAAACTTTCGCCTTTTTTAGTGTGATTTAAATTACATAAAATGTAAATCTGCAATAAATTCAGCATTTGCTTATACAATTGAAATCTGTTTGAAAATTTAAATTTATTGTATTCGATTCCTTTAATAAAAATATTTAAAAATTACCTTGGATACCCCACACATACACACAATAACATTTCGCAAAAAAGAAATCTTAATAGACAATTTTCATTTCATTTGTCCTTCTTCTTTACTTTTATATTGCGACTGCAACAAATTCTGCCAATATCACGTAGTAGGCCAACACTGTGGTCCCTTGTTTAAATTTTATCAACAATACATTTCTACTTTTAATAATAAACTTACTGCATAACATGTCATCAAGACTAATACATTACATACCCAATTATTTATGCAATTAGGGAATTTCTGTTTTTTTTTATAAATTAATTATAAAATATTAGCAACAATATAAAATTGTTACAATGCCTTCATTGTTTCTGATTTAGACAACTCATATGGTATAATTAACTGCTTACACTAGAATCAATATAATGCATGTGATGTCCAATGTTTATTTATGCAAATGCAGTAATAGTCTATATTTAACACAGATGTGCGTGCCCTCTGAGGGGCCACTGTGAAAAACCTGGTTTAGTATAATTAACAATTTAGCAGGACCTTTTAAACAAATTGTAGCCAGAAGGATAAATTTGTAGCTGTTGTAAGTTGAACGTTAAAACTCACCGAATGTGGGCTCTCAGATGAAACACGTCTATTTTCATATTACTGTATCTGGCCAATATAAATAATTTTGATGAATGGTACGATTAAGAAGATAATTTGTAGGACTATGTGCAAAAATTTGAACTCTGTTGAGTGACTACAAATAAAGAAAATCCAATCAGTTGGTGCACCTTTAGTTTTTTCATGTACAAAATTTACTCTGCTACTACAAATTTGTAGTTAAAGCTAAGTTTCTTTGGCAAGCTTTAAATTTTAGCAGCAGTAGTCAAAACGCTACGCTTTCTACTGTGGCCCCTCGGAAGACACGCACATCCTTGTGGGTTTTTTAAAACTACCTAGTAACGTAAAATTCTTAAACATAACTACACATTCCTTACTTGAAATGTAGTGCAAAACTGTGTTCAATTCATCTAAGTAGTGCCTATCTATTAGTGCTTCTTTGGAAAGTTACCATAATATGTTAACAATATTATCACAAGTGTTATTTCAAAAACTATAGTTTCTTTATATTTACTTTTGGTGGTATTGTGTTTCTGTCGGTGAGTAAGGTTCCAGGGCTTCACGGGGTAGAGATTTAGGTCAGGGTAGGCAATAGCTCGAGTGATATTTTTGAGCGTCTATAAACTATGGTAGCCTCTAACCATCTGGATGGTCATACGTTTGTTTGTACCCCTTTTAAAATAAAAAGAAATATAAAAATCAACCTAAATAGACAAAACCTGTAAAAATTACCTTTATCTATCAGAATCAGATTCTTGTATGATTGAAATTAAAAGATAACCAAATTAGAAAATGTAAAATACAAACAATTATTAATATACAATACATTTAAGAAAATAGATGAACTTTTACAACTCAAGAACTATTTGTGAATTGGTTTGTAAAATGGCTAAAATTTTATTACTCCTCAAACACAAGCTACTGGTACTGTTTTGTGAAATAATGCCTATACTAAGAACACAGCTGAGCCCATTCACGCATTAAAACTTAAAGACTACATCTTTGTACAGGTATAAATAGGGAAGTTGCAACGAGCAACATGGTTTCCTAGTGTTAATCTGAAAGTTTATAGCTCACAACCGTTTCCATTTTATGAAGGCTAGTTGTGAAAGATTTCAGTTGGACATTCTGAGCGTTAGCAATGGCTACAGGTTCAGCCTCAGCCCACTTTTCGGGTATATCACAGTCAGTTTTAGCATGGATTAAAACATCAAAAGAACATCGACAATCCAAAAATGGTAAGTATGAAATAGTTGCAGCAACCTGCAACATTACATCCCTGATTTCTTGCTGAATTTTTTTTAAATCTTTTGAGCCAACCGTTTCATTCTTCTCTTTTGAAAGTGTAATGTCACCGTCCTCATATTGCACATTGAAATCCCAGCATTCTAATACTTCTTTGTTGGCAACATTCAAGATGATAAGTGACAGTTTACTGACTTTCTTATTCACAATCCATTCTGAAAATAAAATACTAGAATTAAACTTTTGTTTTGAACTGCATGTTTCATAATTAATCACTGCACATAAAAATTAGTCAATTTAATACAACCATACACACTGCATATATTTAGTATTGCAACTAAAAGTAGTATATGCAGTATAAAGATACCAAAATACGTAAAATGGTTCTAAACAGCTTTTTATTTACCTTCACTTTGAGTCAGAAGATTTGTCAGAAAACTTTTGATTTGTGGATCTTCAGATAAAAGAAGTGTAATTCCATATTGCTGTTCGGCTTTGAAAGTTTCTGGTGGGTAAAGCCCTCTTTGAAACAACACTGAATTTATTGCGAACTCTGAAATTTAAAGGATTTCCGCTGTTATTTACAATAGAGAAACAACAATGGCAAAGTAGGTCACTGCTAAATACTTACTCAAATATTCGCAAATAATTTGAGCAGAGCCACGAAGAGTAATACAATTCTTAGTTTGCTGTTGAGACATAATGTATATTTGATGTTTATTTATATGTTTTGATATTTAAATAAATTAATGTGTTACAAGAACTTGATCTCCGTCGCCCTTTATCACAAATTCCGCTAACGGTTGATTTTAAAATTGGGCTACGTTCAAAAACTCCGCTCAGACTCCGAACTTTTCATGCGGGCAAGTGCCTAGGGACACGAAAAAAGTATCGATACTTTGTGGTATCGAGTACTTTTCCTTTCGATACCGATACTTTTGTACTCGATACTTTGTATTCGATACTTTTACTAAATGAGTACTTTTTGGCAAGTATCGATACCTTTAAAAATTTGGATAAGCGCCTCATATTGATGGCAACGCCATCTTGTTAAATCATAGCAAACCTTCTAAAACGTTCGATAGGGTATTTGGCAAGTTTTAGGCAACGATCTCACGTTATTGACTAATGTTTATGGAGTCCGTAAAAAGTGGATATTCATCATTCTGTCGTGTATTTCAGTAAAAATAACCAAATCAAAAACTCCATTTACAAGTTGCCGCGAAAACGTTTCTCTGGACAATATGACGTCTTGTGTGTGACGTCACACGACTGTTATTAAAACGTCAAACGATACAATGTAATGTCACTTTGACCGGATATTTACTTGCGTGTGACGTCATTTTAGGCTATGCCAATCCCAAGCGTTTTGGGTTACGTGACAATAGATAAGAAAACTAATATCTTTTTCGTTATTTTAGCGCTTTATTTTTAATACTGTCAAATGTACTATCTAAAAAAAACTGTCAAATGCCCTATTGCGTTGTTATAACGTCAGAAACTGACATATTCAAATTCTTTCCAATCTGTGACTGTGTTTATTTTGCGCTTTGTTTTGTTTCATAGTTATTTATTTAGCGACCATATTTATTTATTTATTATTTATTTATTTAGGAACTGTGATTGATTTGCCGTTTATTGTGCTTTTCGCTTGACTGTATTTGATTTATTCAAGTGTAACACTATTATTCTGTCTATGCTGTGTATACCTATTTGAAACCACCTGAAAAAAAGGCGGACGTAACCTCTTCTATAATTATAATCTTGAGCGAAGCATGCCAATGGCAGCGTTAACTACGTGTCAGATTCAAGTTAACATAAGTGGGTATAATGTTTTTTAATGATTAAAATTCAAGAAAAGTAAGTTTAATTTGAAACAAATCTGAAAAGTTTCATACTATTAAATTGTTTAAGATTTCGATCTTTTTAATTAACATTTTAATTATGAATGTATTAATGAACACTTTTTTAGTGTCAGAAATCACAGCTATTTTTTTATGTAATATAGCAATTTGTGAATTTACATGTCCTTTTTTTGTTTTCGATTATACGTACTATAGTAAAATTCCATTGTTTTTCTTTCAATTTTAACACCGGCGGGGCGGGAGGGGGGGGGTTGCTCATCAGGCCACAGGCTCCGATAAGGCCCTGTGAAATGTACTCGATACTTTGAAGTATCGATACTTTTGTTTCGATACTTTTACGAGTACGATACTTTTTTACCGATACTACTCATGAGTACAGTATCGATACTTTCTATTCGATATCGTGTCCCTACAAGTGCCAAGTGCCCGCACACTATACAGTTAGAGATGGAAAAAACGGCTTATTTCTTAAAAGCGCTTAAACGTTGTACTTTTTAAAATAAGCGCGCTTGAAAAAAAGCTTTTTCATTTAAACGCTTATTGGCTTAAACGTTTAAAAGTATGCGTAAAAAGCGCGACGTTGTGTTGTGTTTTCGTTTAGGTATATCGTTTAAAAAAGCGTGAAAAGTTTATTGTCGTTTTTAATGTGTTTAAGTGTTTTATTGCGTTTTTTCTTCTTATTAATGAAATTTTTATTAAAAAGTTTTTTAAACCTAATGAATTGATTGGCATTAAAAACGAAAGATTTTCAATTGAATTTAGATTTTATAATAAACATTTTTATAATAGTCAATGAACTTTCCTTCGTACTTTACAAGCTTAGGACTGTGTGGAGTTAATATACTCGTGATCCAGGCGTACTTAAAAGTTCATTGATTTTATATACATACTTTTAACTATTTTATATGCACATTAAACCAAAACACGAAACGCATTAACACAAGCAAGCATGCAAACACACCGTACAACACCCACGCGCTCTTACCCCGTCACGGTGACAAGCGTACTGCTTTTCGACTTCGTTTAATTAAATGCTTTTAACGAAAAAATCCGAGCAAATTTTAAAAATGTGCATTTTTTTACGTCGCATTATAATAATTCGCATGCTGTACTAACCGGCTCACGAAAGATGGCACGCCGACGCGGCGGCGGCGCTGTAGCCGCGCGTTCTATGTCTGTGATATTGTGAAATATTTAGTTCCAAGGAATTCCGCGTACCCATTTTTCGATACTGTAGTGGACTAGAAGGATCGAAGTATGTAGTTTCCTGGCAAAGACATAGATGGCGGGATTTGCACTTTTTAAGTAAAAAATATACTTGCACTTTTTTAAGTGAAAAGCTTACTCACACTTTTTAAGTAAAAAGCTTATAACGCTTATACTTAAAAGCGTGCTTACAAGCTTAATATTTTAAGCGCGCTTGTTTAAGCGCTTTTCGTTTAAACGCCCACCGCTATATACAGTGCACATGGCTATTTGTAACTTTGTTGCGATAGTGTCTCCTTTTCATTCTCTTTATAGTATGATAAGGATAACTTACTACCAAAATATAGCTAATGCGAATAACCATGTGAAGTTCCAGCGGCAAAAAATATATGAACTACGATGAAACTATTGTATGTCATTTGATGCAAGTGGAGCGTAGGTTTTGAACGTAGACTTGCATTTTTCATAGCTTTTCTCTTCAAGAAAGGCAAAGGATATTGAGCCCATACAGCTATGTCATAAGTTTCAATTTTTCTATTTTAGAGAGCAAGGTAATTAACAAGAAATTGATCACGTTGGCTTTTCATGTAGAACTTCTTAAAAAAAAAAAAACTTTACATTGTATAAAACCATCTCGCACCAGCTGTGTGTAGGTCCTTAAATGAATAGTTGGTTTTCTTGTGTGGTTGACTATTATACCCCGCCGCCCGGAGGGAATGCTTAAACAGCAACAATATGCATTCGGTCCGTCCTCCTACTTCCACTAATAAGCTGGATAGTGTATTGGAAAGAGATGGATAATTCAGTTTTTCATTCTTTTTTCGGACTACAAAGCGAACTGCCCTCTCACGGTAGGCCACAGACCACCTTACCGTCTGCCGCTGCACGATTGTGATTGTTGTCGCTGTTTGCATGTAAACTTTTAAGCATGTCAAATGTAAGGCATATTAAAATATTGAATTTAGGACGTTTTAGAAAATGAAATGAACTATTGCGCATTCGTTACTAAATAAAACATCACTTTGTATTAAAAATAATCACATATTACGTAAAATAACAAAGAAAAACGGGCACAGCGAATTTTCCGCTCGAATTGGAGTAAGTAACCTCCACCTTACATAAGACCACAGTGAAATAACAGCACCTTTTGGTAGTGATGGGTTTCTGCTGGTGAATAGGGTTCCAGGGCATCACGAGGTAGGGGATTAGGTTCAGGCCGGCTAGGTGGGGATTGCAAGAGCGGCACACGCTCTGCCGCATCATCTATCATCGCAACTGGTCTTCACATACACACACTTAACATTAGGTGGGATGGGGTAATTTGTTGCACCTCGTTTAAAAGAAATATGTATGGATGTATGTCGTTAGGTGGCGTTGTTATATTTTGTGGTAGAGGTAAATGTATTTCTAGATGGCGTCGCAATATATTTTAATTGATAGTCTATTAATTTATAAAGTCATGTAATGTAACCGTTTGTTGATTCTTGCCTTTTAAATTTTCTTTCCTTTTTTCATCCTATTTTCACTCATATGTGGCTAATGCATAAACCGTGATGGGGAAAAAAAAACAAAAAGAGTTTTTGGCGGGATTTCATCGAGTGCGGATGGCATCATCATTCTCATTATTCTTAAATTCGTTCAAAGTGAATATTGTGAAATAAAATTGGTGTGATTTTGTGTTACAACCGTCTGCGCAACTGAAGAATTAAAACTAAAACTGAATTAAATTTAAAACATAGGCTACTGCGCTCAAGTGGACGTGAGAACTTTATTGTAGTGTTGACTACCTCACAGAAGCTTATCGAAAAAGCCAATTAGATATATTTCGTACCAAACACTCCAAGACACATTAAAATGCGTCACACCGACATTCTAATGTAGAAAAAAAGAAGATAAATAACTAAACACTAGACTGCATGGGCATTGTTCCTTTTGCCCTTCCTAAAAAGGGAGAATCTTAAAAAAAGTAAACCAAACAAAAGTAGTGATGTTACGGTCTTGAATTTTGACAAACCGGATTTGATCGGTTAGTAATATATGCAAATCGGTTTCCGAACCGAACCACCAAATTTTCAGTAAACCGCGGTTTGAACCGGTTTGAACCGGTTTGAACCGTTTGACGAGTTGACGAATGAAACTTACGAAACAACAGGTGCTATTTTTTTTAAGCTAGGCAATTACGTCGCATATTACATAATAATGAACACAAAATTATGCCGTCAAGTCAGTCAAATCTACCAGAGTCCGTTTCATTTCGTTTCGGTCGGTAAGTCGGTTATGGCTGTTGTATTTAAATTGACGATGCGCGCTAACCGTATCCGCTGCTGTAAGTCGGTTCGTATTGGTCGGTCAAGTTTTATTAGGGTCGGTAAAGCACGTCAGGAGCCGCACGCGATTTGTGGATGGCGGCATAAACAAGAATTGACAGGCGCGCATGCGCGCAGCGCGATACGAACGAATGCCACGGTAGAACCGGTTTACGAAGACGTTAACCGATTCAACTCGGTCCATGCTCAAACCGGTTTGAACCGGTTTGAAAAGTCGAGTCGTTACATCTCTAAACAAAAGTGAAAAATCAATCATTGCATGTGTAAACTTTAAAAATATTCTGATTAGTTAAAAATTTGACGCTCCCGAACGAAACTTCCAAGCTTTTATTAAAATGTGAGCAATAGAATAGCATAAGAATGGGCCGGACTCAAAGAAAACGAAAACGAATCAAGCAGCGCAACTTTTATATCTGCGATGGTGAATCAAGATTGCTTCAGTTAAACTCTTGGCTAAATAGAGAAGGCATAAAACGAAACCAAAAACTTGTTTTGGCTGTTTTCGATGATACTGGTCGTGGAGTACTAACGAAGAAGAAGATATCAGCGGGCGAGGAATTAATCAACTTGCCTCTAAATTCTACTATTAATGTGATCACTGTTCTCTCAGACATTCTCTTTTGTAACATTTTTTTAATTAATAAGAGGCAGTGCTTTTTAGAATACAAAGAAACAGTGTCTTTTCAATCCCTTTTAGCTTTTTACTTAACATATTTGAAGTTACTTGGAAATGGGACTAAATGGTTTCTTTACCTGAAGAGTTTACCGGAATTATATACTGTGCCATACTTTTTATCTAATGACATACAATGTGATCTTGATGCAGATATATTTACCGTTATTTCTAAACAGAAAGATATCATACAAAAATCCTTCTATATTTTTGAAAATATTTTAATCTCTTGTTTGTGTGACAGTAATTTTATAGAACATTTTAAAAAAAACTTTGACTTAAAATTGTATGAATGGGCTTACTTCACTGTCAATACTAGGTGTGTATATATGGACTTGACGAATGTATTAAATTTAAAGAATGTTGGAAACACTATGTTAAATATGGTAAACGATAATACAAAAATATCACTTTGCCCTTACTTAGATATGATAAATCATAGTCCAAATGCTAAAAATGAGACTAAGTTGATGATCCCTAAAAACTTTCTCAACGTCGACATTATGAATTTGAATCAAGATGTATTTTGTGATGTGTGGTTTTCTATTTATACAAAAAATAATTTTGAGCCATATACACAAGTGTTTATATGCTATGGTGATAGTCATAACTTGAAGTTGATAACAGAATATGGTTTTTTCTTACCTGATAATGAATTGGACTATGTGTCATTTGATTTTGAAAGTGTTGTGGAATTTTTAAGCATGAAATCCCTGAAATTATCACAAGAGCAAAGCTCTTTTATTAGTAATCATGGATTAAACAAAGACTTGTACATCGACTTTAGAGGTCTAAGTTTCAATTTCTATGGGTTATTGATGGTTGTAAAATATTATTATGATAATACAATGAATGTTAGTAGATTAATTTATTCAGCAGCTGTAGGAACTAATAACAAAGAGTTAAATGACATGCTGAGGCCAATGGTTAGTAACAGATTAGATAGTATTAAGAAATCCATAAGTAAACTTTTAAGTTATAAACGTAAATGTATTATTTTAGATAATTGTATAGGACTCATGAGTCAGCATATTAATATTTTAGAAAAGTTTATAAAATATTAGATGTGAGAGTAACAAATAACTAATTTTTCCAGATTATGTAAAATATTCCCTAGTCAGTGTATTTTTTGAAATAAAAACAAAGCAATGAATATATTAGTTGTTATAATCCCAAAATCCCTGCTTATACCTACATCATATACCCCTTTAATCCCATAGTTCTGTAGAACTGTGAAGTTCTGTTAACCGAATGTGCTTTTGCATATTACATTACTTGAAGGAGACCTATATGGATAAGGAGTAGGTACCTATGATGTAAAATAAAGACATCTTTTTGAAAATATATATTACCATCCTCAAGTGTAATGTTCTATGCGATTCAAAGAATAGGAAAGCCAAAGACCTCTATCTGTCAAATGCCGCTTAAAAAGTATGGTTTGCAAAAAATCTTAGAAAACTTTTTTTAGCACTGAGCTAATCTTAGAATAAATACCAAAATTTGTAAACAATAGAAGGAAATAAATCATATGAAACGTAAGAAAAATGGGTACAGGCAAAGGGAAATATAAGAACTTTAGTTTTATTATAAATACAGGTAATAAAAAGACTTTTTATTTTAAATAAAGTTGTCGTTTTAAAACCTACAATAATCAATATTTATTTTATATCCGAAAGCATCAGTGATGATGATGACTACTCCGACGGTAGTGCAGAGATTAGCAGAAGTAAAGAGCTAGATTCTGATTAATGTTTTTTCCCACACAGTCTTAATAAACAAATAATATTAAAAATCTGAATTTTTTTCTTACTAAATCTTGGTAAATAAATTTTATTAAAGGAAAAACTTGTTTGCTTCCTCTACATACTTAAGGGTACTACCACAGTGCATGAGTGCACGCAGGTTGACTCAGAAAACAAGCGCGAGAAATAAACAGTGTAGTTTAAGCAGGGTGGCCATAGTGGCAGCAGGCAACCTGCTTAAACTACACTGTTTATTTCTCGCGCTTGTTTTCCGAGTCTGAATCTGCGTGCACTGTGGCCGTACCCTAACTGGTCTGAATTGACAGCTATGACGTCACAATATGGCGCCCAGTCGGTCCTATTCATAGAGAAAAGTAATGTTCTATTCTTAGTTGAATCGCATTGTACATTGTGTGTATGAAATGTTTATATTCTTCTTAGGAATGCTGAAAGCAACCACTGAGACTCAGCATATCGCGGTTACCAATTGGTTTCTTTTCGTCGTTGCAGCTAACGCAAACTATATATTCGTACCCTGCGACACTATCTTCTGGGTATCTGTAGTTGTAATCAGACACTATGTAAGGTTTGTACTTATTTAGATCTGACTCTTTTAAATCAGGATCATCATCGCGAGATGAGAACAGCGACTTAATCTCATCATCAGGCTCATCAGGAGGCTTTTCCCTGTTCTTTTTTTTCCTTTTGGACATTTTAGACAAAAGTAAATTAAACAACAATATACTAAGAACAATTATTAAAAACAATAAAACTATATACAAATGTACAGAAAATGCATTCAGAGGCAAAAAAATTATGAGAAATAGCAAAAAATTAAAATAATAAAAAAAAATACCGCCCTTCCAGTTTGGAGTTCCCGCGCTCCAACCTTGTTTAAAGATTATTTGCCACAGAGTAGCGATGCGCGACTTCGAATAATACTTATACTAATCATTCGACTCCACGAATCATTCGACTAAGACACTGCGCTTTATATTATTCAACTGGAGTCGAAGGTATTGGGCGGCGCGTTTCGCACGCAGCTTCATTTGACATTAGTATTACTAATTAGTAGTTGTTTTTAGAATATTGACATTAGTATACTACTTTTTTGCCTTTCGAATAACCAAATTAGTAGTTACGAATTAGTCGAAAGGGAATATCTTTCGTAGTCGCACATCGCTACCACAGAGTACATTGATTGTTTTAAATACTATACTTGTACCATTTGGTATATTTACCTTTCTCTATGACTCGTACTTGCTCAGTGTCTGTGACTATGGCGGCTGCTCTGTTGTCAAATAATTTTTTTACAAAATTATTAAAAAATCGTGCAAAACATTTATCATTAGCCACTAATTATCGAAATATAATTTATAGTAAACCAAATTTAATTTGTAAGCAATGCGCGGTTACAAGCTACTTCAGGGTTAGTAAATAAGTTTAAGTTGTTTGCATTTAATTATGATTTTTTAAATATAATATTTGTTATAAAGTTTAAAATAGGTGTTTTTAATTATTTTCAATTCGTAGCATTACTCCTCGAACCAACAAAACAGTTCTGTAAGCGGAGATACGGCTAAAAATGTTCTTGCTGCAGTGTTGGCAAACAAACCTAAGACTGGAAAAATACCAGTTGGTAAGTGATTTTTGTTAAAAACCAATTAGCAATATATATTAAATAATTAAATATATGTCATATTTCTTCCATTTTTACTAGATGATATCTGAGTTTAATTCATATTACATAATAAAAATAATGAACTTGACCTTGCTCAATATATACAATAGTATTTTTATCTGTTTAAGACTGGTAACAATTTTGTAACTTTTATATTGATGGTAATTCTCATCAAATTTCGTAATGATTTTTAGTGTTTATTCATATCAATGCTGGTATTTCTTGGGAACTAGTGATCTTAATGTAACATTTAAAATGTTTCACTAATTATTATACTAATGAATCAATTAATAATTAGTCCTGTATATATACCATTCTTATACTTTTCCTTCTAAAACTTTGGTAATCTGTGTTGCAAATTACCTATGTCCAAATCTAAATTTTAAATGTTGTTATATTTCTGCAATGGGGTTTTTTATGATAAGGTTTAAGAATGAGCAGTTTGTGTGCGAAGGCTTCTATTGCACAAATTCTTCAAGAATTTGTACAAGTGACAAAAAGAGTAAAAATAGTTCAACCTGAAAATTAATGGTTGCATTTGTGTCATAGCTTTGAGATATGTAGGATACAGATACTCATTTTGTATTACAAACCATTTAATTTGTAGAGGACACAGCCATTCATAACAAATGAAGACTTAAATTAGTCATGCCTGGTAGTGTTAGATTCAGACTGAAATGAAATAATTTTAGTCTATGTACCCACTTCGCACCTGACTAGTGTTGTTGTACTATTTCACATATTTCAGAAACTGCATAGAGGCAATAGTATTACTTCTAAAATGATGGTTCATATTTTATAGTGATACTAGAAATTTCATATTAATTCTCATCTTTTAGATGTACTGGTATTATGCCCTGATAAGTAGAGATGCACCGAAATTTGTTTCTCATTTGGTATTACTTAAATTAAGCAGCTTTTATGAAACTTTGTTTTCAGCCGAATTTGGGTTAGAATACCTTAATGTTGTCTGAAATTTTGTAGCATAAATTAATTTAAATAAGAAATAGAAAAGCGAGCTAAAATGTGAAATTGTAATATTTTAAGCATGTTTCTGTTAAATGTTTAAATCTAAAGAAAATTTTACTTGAAAAATTCCACTGTCCGGGCAGATGCATTGACCAATTATGCTTCCCTGGCCTTAATGGTGTAGAATTTCTTCTAGTATATTTTATGCTGCAAGAAATATATTTTAAAATGATATCTTGATCAAACAATGATTTGTAAGCAAATACGTATAATGTCGACATTCCCTAGACAAGGAAAACGTTTATAAAAATATGCTTTAAAAAATTATCAATTGTAACAAACAGCCAGGTAACAAGATTCTTTCTAATTTGCAACTTATTTTATATAATGAAACTTTGTCATTTAGTTTTTTTTATTGCAGCAAAACAATATCTGTATTTTTTTATATTTTGTTCATTGAGCATAAGTTTGCGAAAATTACCAGGGCAGACTTTATTGCACATATTTAAACCTAACATTCGGTTGAATTGGTCATTTGGCAAGTCCCATATTTGGTGCAACACTACTGATAAGTCTGTCTAGATTAGGGTTAATAGGTATTATAAAAATTTGTTGCCTGGACACAAACTAGCCTTTTTATCTTAAGGTTTTTTTTCATATTTTTTAATAAGATGAAATATAGGTAATAAACGACCCATCCAATATATAAAATTCTCATGTCACAGTGTGTGTAATTGAACTACTCCGAAACGGCTCGACCTATTTTCGTGAACTTTTATATGCATATTTAGTAGGTCTGAGAATCGGAAAATATCTATTTTTCATCCCTCTAAATGTTAAGGGAGTTCCACCCTTAAATTTTTTTTTCGACAAAATTTTATGACAGTATGAAGCTCGCTGGGACAGCTAGTATTATATATATGTCCCATATTCCGTGCAACACTACTGATAAGTCAGTCTAGATTAGGGTTAATATTATACATTTTTTTTTTGCTTAACAAAGCTAAATTATCATTTTATAATTGCTTTGTATGTTTTTTTTACTCATATAAAATGTATGTAGGTAGCCTCATTACCACTAAACCATTTATCACATTCAAAAATATCTGTTTTTCATACATATAATCTTCGAAAAAGTATTGCACCTTTTTTACTTTAATTTATGCAATTTTTCTGTATGCTAATTGCCATTGTGTTTTGTTACTAATACTTGGTTGATAGCAGTTCCCGCACGCATCCTTGTATTTAGTCCGCTTTCTTCCATCCTATTTTCGTTACCTTATCCTATTGTCCTCATGATATCTCTCCTCCTCCTAGGTATCCAAAAACGGGACTGCTTTCACCCAGGTGCCTCTGTTTTGTCTCGTGAAGATATAAACCTGGGGGATGTGAAGCCAGTGTCGGGAGCTGATATGATTAGGGGCATGCTGGCGTATATATGGCCAAAGGTTAGTACGCATTCAATTCAAAAGGGTTATGATAAAAGAATCTTGTGTATTATGCAATGTAGCTGTAGTTACTATGATGTTATGATGATTAAAGGCACGTAACTCTAGCGCTGAACAAAACGCGGAGGGGATAGCTGCGCATGGGTATAGGGTTACCATATCTCAGGATTTGTCCTGAGATTTCAGGATTTTTGGACTCTTCTCAGGATTGCGGCTGGATTTTGCAAATCTCATAAAATCTCAGGATTTTTTGAATTTCCAATAAAATACAGTTTACGTTTTAAAGATCTCTTTAATAAAAAGTCATACAAACTAAAAATAATCTTCTATTGGTAATAATTGCACAATTAAAATCAGTACTTTATTATCCAAGACGGTACTTAATCAGTTTATCATACTTAATATCTGAAGATACATTTTTAAGTAAGGTTTTTTCTTTAATTATGGATTCATATAATGCGCCACATGTTAAGCTCTTCAAATTATATTGATTTAAAAGTATATGCACAGCATAAACGATAAAGTTACGACTTTTAAAATTGTTAAGTATGTTTGAGAAAAAAATCTCAAACTGTAAAAAATCTCAGGATTTTTCAATGGAAATCAAACCTTTTCTCCGGACTTTTGATTTTATCATCTGGTAACCCTACATGGGTACGACTGGAGAGCCAATCGGCGCAACGCACGCCCACCCGCGCACCTCGTTACCCCCCAAGACATCTTAATTTTTACTTCTGCGTAATAACGGTCAGCGCTAGAGTTTCGTGTCACGACTTATAATGGCGCCATTTGCAGTTGGTCGTTAGCCCGAATACGAGTTCCAATGGAATTCGGGTAAAGGACTAAGTGTAAATTAACGGAGTCTTTCTTGCATCCCGCGGCGTAAGTGAGCTAGGACAGTTCTTTTTGATGGGTGGATTCGAGTCGTGTAAGTGGGTGAATACCTTTATATCACCGAATAAGCATTACATTGTTTATTAAAATATTAAATGCACATATTATTACATATTTTTTGAATTCTATCAATGTAATGTACCACCTGGAATAACGTAATGGGCATCGTATATTTTGTATTATTCTTTATTGACTGATAATAAGGTTATTGCCATGTTTATAATAAAACTTACAATATACAAATACTGTTGTTAACAGCTTAAGTTAATATGTATTTCTTCTATACACAGGATAATGAGATGATCAGGAAACGCGTGCTGCTATCTCTCTCCCTCTTGTTTGGCGCGAAAGTCATAAACGTTAGCGTCCCCTTCCTGTTCAAATACGCCGTGGATGAGGTGAATCAAGCGACGATGACACCAGCAGGAGATGCTTTGTTGGGCATGGCAACAGTTCCACAAGCATTAGGCACGGCTGCATTTAGTTTATTAATCGGATGTGAGTACTAATTTATACAGGATGTTAATGATTAATAAAAATATCGATCATTTTAAGACACGTCACTAGTTCGAGAATGATTAAAAATAACTGTTTTTATAAAAAGTTAAAACTTCATGCAAATATAAGAAAATTAGAGAAGAATCCTTATATGATGTACTTCAATGCCCTTCAAGCTTTATTTGTATTTTTGTAACACCCTGTATACCTACATAAAATGTAAGAAGCTTGATGGCGCGGTCGGTTATAGCGCGTTCGGCTGTTATCGTTAAAGTAAAGCAACTTTCGCAGTGGTCGGTCATTGGATGGGTGACCAAAAATCTTCTATCTCGAGTTCCTCCCCTCCCCCCACCCCCCCCCCCGGGGCAGGGTATTGCTTCATTGGTAATTTTTTTCACAACTTGCTAGTGCTGCTCTGTTCCAAACCTTCGCTCCGAGTACAACTTTTCACTCTGACGTTTCAATTTCGACATAAAATGTACGAAACTTGTGTCAAATTTGACATTAGTTGCACCTGGGTCGTAGTTAACTTAGCTCTGTGTATGGCAGCCACATGAGTGAACGGCGTGTGTAGAGAAACGTGTTGCAGAAACAAAGTTTTGTGTGTGTGTTTTTGTTGAATGTTTTCAAAAAACTTTTACTGGAGTCACTGCTTAAGCAGCGCTCAGCCTAAAAACAAACTAGCTTTTTCCATACAAAATTTGACGTTGACGATACGATTACGGAGCTATAAAAATTCATACTTGGGCCTCTGTTTAGAAACAGATCGGCCAGCATTATTTTTAACGGTGGGTCATTTCCCTTTAACTATTTGTTTGAGAAATCGACACCGTCCCTATTCGAGCCGTTCTGTATTCGTTATGTAATTCATTTCTTTGAGATTACATTCCAATACCTATTTTATAAAAAAAGGCAATTTTCTTAGGTAAACAAAAATATGTACCAACCAATACAGGCAGTACTCGTACTTACGGCATACGCGACGTAAATCGAAACGACTTAAGTCGAGACATCCCCACGGACGCCGGCCCCACGGATATTGACCTCGCGACAAGTGAATTCTCCTATGCCGGAAATCGAAACAACTGACGTGTGCTTGAGGAATAGTGTCAAAACATTGTTTTACGTAACTTGTGACGACGTAAATCAAAACGACGTATGTCGAGGACTGCCTGTATCTGAAATTATTTCACCATTAGTAGAATGCTACTTTATCAATCCTTGAGTCACCTAGGCAATATTTTATCGCGTTTAAATAAAGTTTATATGCAAGGCGGGGTTATATTTTCGGACAGGATAACGTCTCCCGGTCTACTAGTCATCATCATCAGCCTATTAATGTATCCACTGCTGGGGCACAGGTCTTTCCTATGGATGGAATAGGGAGATTAGGCCATGATCACCATGCTTTGGCGGGTGCTAACGATTACAGATGCAGCCGGGACCAACGGCTTAACGTGCCTTCCGAAGCACGGAGGAACTCGAGATAGAAGATTTTTGGTCACCCATCCAATGACCGACCACTGCGAAAGTTGTTTACTAGTGTATTATAAAATATCTCTTTTTGGATGTAGATGGCATAGCGCGAGCCACAGCAGCCGGTTTCAATGAGCTACGCAATGCAGTATTCGCCACTGTGGCTCAGCACTCCATAAGGAGATTGGCTTGCAACGTATTCACGCATTTACATAAACTCGACTTGAGCTTCCATTTGGCGCGGCAGACGGGAGCATTGTCTAAGGTAAAATGGACCTTATTACATGTGTTTTTAAATGTGGTGTGCAACGATATTAATACCCTAGATACACCACGTGCAAGCACTTCTTGGTTCGCAGTCACGCGCGGACCGTTGAAAGGTCAAGTTGTCGCAGAGTTCCCCGAAAAATGCGAAATAAATACTTATAATATGTAAAGTGTCGTTTCTACGACAGATATCTAATCAATGTTTGTTAATTTAACGCATTTGAAGCAAGTTCTAATACTTACTATAAACTAAATTAATAGAAAATATTTGTGATATTTGAATGCGTGTTCGGTTATATAGCCTTCTCTTTTCCACGCGGTCCGAACTTGCTATATTGCTAACAGCGCATTCAAAATTGCGCGTAGAATCAAGGAAATAAGGTCTAATATATTCATCCGCATATAGCAATAAGTCGTTAAAGTTTACGTGCTTGCATTTCGAACTGTCATAACTCTTTGACGCATGCGTTTTAAATAAGACCTTTTATAGTGCGATTCAAATAAGAATACGAAAGCCAATGACCTCCATCTGACAAATGTCGCTTGAAAAGTACGGTTTGCAAAAAAAATTTGGAACCCATTTTTAGCACTCAGCTAATTCTAGCATAAAAACTAAATATTTGTAAACAAACAATAACAAATACTGACAATTAATATTGTTTGATATTTTTTTTTTCATTTCTTGAACTTTGGCTATGACTGGCAAAGAGGTTATTATAACCACTGGTTTATAACCTAAATTGTCAACCAAATGTCACTTTAAGTTGCGTTCATAAACTCGATTTAAAACTTTCGTTTACATAAAGAATGCATGTTCTTATGTGACCTAGTAATAGTGCATTATGATTCATAACTACTCCGGCGGTAATACAGAGATGAGCGGCATTAAAGAGCTAGATTCTGATTAATGTTTTTTCTTACACAGTCTAAATAAATCATATTCAACCATATAATTTTTTTCTCAATCTTAGTAAATAAAATTTATTAAAAATCTGGTGTTTTTTCTCACTTAATCTTTGTAAATAAGTTGTATTAAATAAAACTTTTTTTGCTCACTCTACCTATTTGGTTTGAATTGATAGCTATGGCGTCACAATCCTATTCTTAGTTGAATCGCATTATACGGTGCTTTTAAGGTGACTTTCTAAGTTTAAATAATGGCATATATTGTTTTTGACTGCGGTATCATCTTACAGAGATCTGTGATTCGTCCAATGTACCTATTGGACAGGTTTCGGTCACGATTTTGTTCGTGGTATTTAATATCGTTAATTTTATTACCAAAGCCACCCGAAGCTACGTCAAATAGGGGCCAAATGCTTAATGGGATTGCTATAGCTATCGCCATCGCTTACGATTTCATTTTGTTATTTCTGACCACCGTTATTACAAATGCAAAAGAAAAAAACGAGCGCGAGTCATTTGAAAACCTTCGGCGGTCAGAAATATCAAAATGAAATCTTAAGCTATAACGAGAGCCTAAGCAATCCCGTTAGGCGAATAGCCCATAGGTGTGGGATAAGTGAGTGACAGTGTTTATTTGTTTTTTAGACCATAGACAGGGGATCGCGCGCCATAAACTTCGTCCTGTCAGCGATGGTGTTCAACATAGTGCCAACAGCGTTCGAACTAGTCTTGGTTTCGACAATTCTGGGCTTAAAAGGAGGAATGGCGTTTGCGGGTAACCTGTTGATTCTGGAATTTAAACATACTTACAATATTTGCTTGATTGAACAGATTATCATATTGAGGTCTAATTAAATATTCATTAGACATTAATATGATAAAGTTTAGAAGTATTCTAATCGTATACCCTACAATTGCATTATCGACTGTGAAGAACAGTAAAATACACAGGTACTATTGGGTAGGGCTTTTTGTCAGAAAAAAACGTAAAATATTTACACGTTGTAGCGAAGTGTATAAGCCGCGGCAAGAGAGCGTGCCCGACTGAATGCAAGTCTGGTAATTACCTGACTGTCGTATTGCCAAATTAGAAGCGTGTACGACGTATATGTAATTTTAAAACATGGTAGATGGGTTAGTTAGGTTTGCCAACCCTACTACAGTCGTCACAAAATAAGAAGCCCGTTTTGACATTTGTCATCGTGGCGTAACTAGTGATGTACCATACGACTCGGTGCACGATACTTACGATAAATCGATTCAAGCTTTTAGAGTATTTGATTAATTTGACTATATATCACAAAGTGCATTGGATTTAAGTTATAATTGGAACATATAACTTAAACTTTAATGTTATAGGCAAATTAAATGATACAATGGAAAGAAATGTCAATTTGTCTTTAATTTAAAAAAATTAGCTCAATCACAACAAAATCAAGAAAAGTGAAATCAATCATTTTCTTCTGATGGCGAGCCAGATGAGCTATCGTCGCCTGTTTAAATAATTATTTAATTTGTTGCTGTTGATTGTACGTCCTCTTTTCGATATGTTGAAACAGAGTTTGTACAATATAATAACAAACACCAAAATCGAGTCCAAATCGCTATGTCTAATCAATGTCCGGAATACAAGAGCCAAGGTCAACGTGATAGTAAACAAAACAGCTCAAAAGCAAAAAAAATATCAAACATAAACGAGAGCACAGTCAATTTCACAAGATGTCGAACGAAAGACTGCGCAGTACGCGGTACGCGCATGGATCACGTGCCGCTTGGTCATAGACAAACCATTCTATGTGTAGATAGAGAAAAGGAAACAAATTATGTACGGCTTTGATAATTCTTTTAAAGACTGACTTTTAAGGACTGTTGTCAAATTAAGTTTTAAGTTTAGCTAATCACTCAAGAATCGTCACCAATATTTTATAATTTTCGATTAAAATCGAATGAAGGTGGCGAGTTTAAAAAAAATAACTGATTGCATCACTATTATTAAAAGAAAAAAATCTGTGAATGTAACTGTTTTTGAAGACTTTTCGTAATGATCACAAATTTCATGCTTCTATAAATTAAGTGGGAAAAGAAGAGTCGCAATATATTCTTTCGTATTATTTAACACACCACGAAAAGTATGTATTTTTTAAAAATACTTTAAGTAGAAATAATTCCACGCGGACCAGGCAGCAGACGGGTCTCGAACCCGCACCCTTCGCAATCCGGGCGAATGCACTGACCAATTATGCTACCGCGGCTCTCACGGACCGCGTCGAAATTCTTCTAGCCATTCTTAAGCTGCAAGGCAGCGCCATCTCTTCACATTATAGGTAACCAACAATGTCAACGATTAAAACATCAAGCAGTTACATGCTTTAAAAATAATAAAAATTATACTTTAAGTATTTATTTATTATTATTTTGTTTTTTCCAGTTGCGTTCCAAGATGGTTCCAAGTTACATTATATGGTCTTTCTCAAATGTCACAAAGGACTTCTTATATTGTGACGACTTTATATAATATTGTATCCTACTATATTAGGGGATCAAATACTATATTTTAAAACAAAAATGTAGTAGGCGAAACTACTATATTTTGTTTAAGAGAGACTTTTGCCAGTAAAAGCTTTATTAAAATAAAAACTGGTATTAGCAAAAGCAGCAAAAATATACTCATTTCAAAAATAAAGTAAATATTTTAACCATATACTATTTTTTTTTGTCGTCTACTATATTTTTAGAGGTAACAGCTTCGAAAATACTATATTTGATAGAAAAAAAACGAACGAGCCATACAGTAGTCGCGTATGATGTGTAACATTTGAAACCTCACCTTATATTAGTAAAAAAAGAAATAAAACCTACGACAAAAGGAATAAGCCATATGAACATCATGTTCTAAAATCAAATCAAATAGCGCGCGCTTCTCAAACCTCCTGTTACACAATTCCGTCCCACTTCACGTAATCACTCCCACAAATTGCACGAAAGCGAGAGGAAAGATGTTACACATCAAAAATTGGTAATCCTTCACCTAGTATATATTAATTCGTTCGTACAGGTCTAGCGTTTAGTTGCGTAGGCGTATACGCGGCTTTCACACTAGCAGTAACACAGTGGCGGACCAAATTCAGGGTCCACATGAACAAAGCAGAGAACGAAGCCGGCAACAAGGCCATAGACTCACTCATCAACTACGAGACCGTCAAGGTATATAAATTACACCATGAATAACTTTTTGAGCATAAACCACGTACGTGCCAAACCATGCGCCTGAGCAGTAGAAAATTTACACACAAAATTGGTCTGCGCAAGATTTTTGTCTCTGATTTAACTCTTGAAAAAAAAACGACGGTTTGCACTCCGGGAGTGCCGGCAGAAGTGAAAACTTGAATATTAACGTTGTGCATTTTGGAATGGTTAAGGAATAATTTTGCACGAATTGCTTTAATTATCAGTATAAAAGTACTGTCATGTATGTGGTAGAATACAATATTTATTTATTGCGCTGTCGAAAACAAACATGACAATTTATATTACATTAAAAAAGTGTATCTCTCAGAAAAATCAACTTACATGAATCACGTTTAAGCGCACTTAGCTACATCTATTGTAAAAAAATGCATTTTCTTCGCAATAAAGCTGCCAAGTGGACGTCCTAGAAACATATTATTATAATACGATAAAATAAAATATTACTATGTTTCCTCCAATATATTGAAAATCAAAAACCTTTCCAATTTTATTGTGTGTCATGATGCGATCAGCCCACGTGTTTAACCTGACGCGAGTTGAACATTTTTTAACCATACAAAAAAAGTGTACAACGCCGCTAAAGAAGTTTTCACTTCAAAAAGTGAATCTTGTGTTTTATTTCTGTATTATTATTAAGAGAGCCGACAAATGTTGTCCTGTCCGATACAATGTAAAGAAATCTTCTTGAATCTAACTGCAGTGCCACCTGCAGATTCCAGTTGTGAATTTAAACGATAAGCACATTCAATATTTTTTTAATACATTAAACATTAACATTACATCACAAAAACCTCGAAAGATTGATCTGTGTTGCAGAATCGCTTCACAGCCAGTTACATCAAACATTCGAATGCGCACATAAAATTACATTGAAACAAGATTGGAGATTTGCTCTGCGCTGTCTATTGACTAATCATTGTACGATCGAACCAATTGATTCCTAACCCTACCCTGATAATTCGCCTATAAATGCTAGAAATGACAAAACAGACAAAACGAAATAAGTTTTAAAATCGGAAATGTAACAGAAACTCTTTCTATTTCTTTACATTTTAAAAAAACGTTGGTGAAATAATAAGGAAATCCTTAGTCCATGAGCAAACTTCAAATAATTCAATGTCAAAATTATACATTACAAGAAGGCGGCAAAATCTGTCACGTCACGTCAAATATGATTGTTCAGAAAATAGCAAGTTTGTTTCTAGGGATACGTATATTTTAGCAAAAAAACTACCTTATTGTTTTGAAACGGTTGTAACATTAAAAGCTTATGGTGGGTCAGGAATCTATTTGGCTGATTGTATATATAATTTTGCATATCTTTTTAATTGTTTATTATACCTACTTTTATGATTTTCAATGTATTTGTGTCCTTATTTAAATACGAATGACGTCAATAAGCGTCTGGAAGTGCTTGTTTCATAAACTCATTTTGATTTTGAGTGTCTGGAAAGGCGTATGTTAACTATTCCAAATTAAGATTTTTGAATAAATGTTAACATTCAATCTCCTCCCGGTAGTACTTCAACAACGAGAAATACGAGCTAGAAAAGTACGACGCTAGTCTGAAGAAATACGAGTACGCTTCTTTAAAAACTGCCTCAAGTCTGGCGTTGCTCAACTTCGGCCAACACGCTATATTCAGCGCTGGACTCAGCATGATAATGATACTGGCCGCCCAAGAGATCGCTAAAGGTAACTAACTCCCTTTATTTTATTTTTTATTTATTTTTATTTTATTTTATTAGGGATAACAAACAGTTGTACAATATATGTTAAGTGAAAGGCTTACAATTATGTTATACTTATTGTACAACCAACAACATTATCCACAGATTAATACTAAGATTGTTTTGTTTTATATATATTTCTATTATTCTTTTTTAATACCAAATGAAAAATATGTTGTACACTACACAAATAAGTATCCAGTAGAAACAAAAAGCTTGTCGAGGCGTACCAAGGTAATACACATATTATGATAAAAGATCATACACTTTGGTCTTGAAAGAAGTGTCTGAGAGCAGGAAAATGTCAATATCACGTGAGCTCAAACTATCATTAAAGATGTTCATTATTCTGTTCAACGGGGCACGCAGACCAGCGTTAGTATTGACATAACCGGGGCAGAATAGTTTATGTGGGTAAGCGTCACGGATACGGTGTGAACTGCTAGGTATTCTAAATGTAACATTGTCAGTCAAATCATTACAGTCGTAATTATTATGTAATATATTATACAAGCAGGATATATCAAAAAGCGTCCTCCGCAACTCCAGTTTTGGTATCGAAAACTTCTGCAAAAGATGGTCATATGATTGTTTAGATCGCGAGCATTTATAATTAATACGCTTGAGATATTTGCGTTGCACTGATTCTAAGTTGTTTTTATACTTGTTATAAAATGGGTTCCAAACGACTGTAGCGTATTCAAGCTGTGACCTAACCATGGCTTTAAAAAGGTAAAATGTAGGTATCCGGTTTCTTAAACTGTTGACAAGTACGCATTATGAAGCCATACATTTGATATGCTTTGGATATGACGTGATTTATGTGGTTATGCAAATGTAACTCAGAGTCCAAGAGTATACCTAGATCACGAATGGTATTACTTTCTCCAATTTTTTGTCATTTAGTGAATAGTTAAAATTGATAACGTTTTTCTTCTTTGTTGTAGTTATAAATTTACATTTTGAAACACTCAAATACAGCTTATTTTGGACACAGTGTACGGGTTTAGCCGCACATTAAACTCATATTAAGTAGGTTAACGCGTCAGCAATATGACCCGCTGCGCGACTTATTACTTTATAATTTATTAATTTCATTGTTTCGCAATAATAACATATTGAATCTATAATTAGTGTCTATCCGGTAGCCTTACCAACCGCGCGTACTCACTCTTACCTTTTCACCATACGTAAACCATTCTTTCACCATACTTTAACTTTAGTTTTCCTGTTTATGGACTTTGTTATAGTAGTGTAAATTATCTCAATAAACTCTCAGTAATTGTTTCCAGTGACTTTCTATTTACCAATCTCTTCTCTAAAGGTGTATAATCCGTACATCTATATGGTCCTTCGATTCGTAGAAGGAACCTTTCGCGAGTGAATAATTAATTGTGGTCTGAGTTGACAGTGTAGTTTGCACGGAGTTGCAATTATTGTTCGACGAGTGGTTCCTAAGTTATACCAGTGCTAAGTTCTGGCCGTACCAAGGCTGGGATACCAGGATTACAACCATTGCTGAATCTGGTCAAGGTTCAGGTTATCGAGACATCTTCTATAACCAAGTAAGATCTTTCCTTTTTTTTTAACCACTCACCATTACCATGGAGGCTTTACTGGAAACGCAAAGCCAAATTATGGCGGGTATGGATCAACTTCTGTCAAACTTCAAGAAGGACGGCCGTGACCGCAAGACACCAGATTATATAAGGAGGAAGCTGGAGATGTTGGAAAATTACTGGAGAGAATTTCAATCCAACCACGATTTATTGTGTGAATTTGAAAACCAAAACAACGCTTATTTTACAGGTAAGGAATATGAAAGAACCAACGATTTTTATATACAAACTAGGCAACTCATACAAAGTTACATGCCGGAAGACAGTAGACCATCAACATCAGTTTTGAAACCAGCAACACCATTCAAAGCGCCTTCGCACCCACGAAAACCAGAAGAAAAGAACATCAAACTCGATGAGCTGTTCCGTAAGCAGGCTAGCAACTTTAAAGCCTTTTCACGTACAGTCGCCATCATAAACATTGATGCTCTAGAAAATAAGTGGGAGTCCGACGATGCCCTCAGAAATTTGCAGTCAAGGTGGGGAGTTATCGATACAATGCACTGGGAGATAGATAGTGAACAGAGAGACGACAGCTCTACTTACGATGCATACGAGACAGAGTTTTCAAGGTACGAAAATATATTTCTCGCTATTAAAAAGGATATCAATACCAAGATGTGGTCCGTTTCACACAGGGAGAAATCTACTCCTCAAATGGAAATTCCATTCTTCACTGGTAATTACCAGCAGTGGACATCATTTAAAGATTTATTTCAAGAATCTAATCACCATAATCCGTCCCTATCCAACGCACAGAAACTCCAATTTTTAAAGAGTAAGCTGAAGGGCGAGGCGGAAAAGCTAATACAGCATTTAAATGTTTCCTCTGAAAATTACCAAATTTCATGGGACATTCTCAACCACCGTTTTAATAATAAAAAGTTGATATTCACTTCTCATCTCAACACGCTGTTGAATTTACCAGTTTTACAAGTCCAAAATGCTGTGCTTATAAAAAAGTTACATGACACAACCAATGAATGTCTACACGCTATTCAAAAAATGGGCGTTGATACCTCAACGTGGGATCCTATCATCGTTCATTTATTGGCCCAAAAGCTTGATATCGACTCACATAACGAGTATGTGGGCTCCTTAGAAAGTCCGAGAGAGCTGCCAACACTAAAGGATTTTTCGAAGTTTTTGGAATCAAAGTTTACGTCTTTAGAAGCTTTTCGCCGCAAACAGGAGTCAACCAAGCATTCACAACATGAAGATTTTCGTTACAAGAGACCATATCATCAATCATCTACCAGTCACCAACAAAATAAACCATTTACCAAACCATATACTTCATACAAGACTTTGCACGTGGAGTCTAAAAGATGTCCTCATTGCAACGAAAAACATGCAATTTACATGTGCAAACTCTTTCGCGAATCTAGGCCGGACGTAAAGCGAAAAACAATTGCGAAATTCAGTCTTTGCGAAAATTGTTTATTCGATCACCACGGCAAAGAATGCTTATCCAACAAAACGTGTCGCTTCTGCAACGGCAAGCATAATTCCTCGATTCACGACTTGTTTACGTCATCGATAGAAAGTTCAACAGTCGCGAACACCAAACCAATGAGTGACAGGAAAACATGTCACGTTTCCAACGGGAACATAGCGGAAACCCTTTTAGCTACAGCCAATGTCAAGGTGCAAGCTGCAGATGGGAGCTACATTATTCTACGGGCGCTCATAGACCAGGGCTCTCAAACATCTTTAATATCCGAAAACGCAGCCCAAATGCTACGATTATCCAGAAGACGTCATAAGGGAGTTATCTTTGGCATTGGCGCAAAAGAAAATAACTGCAAAGGGCTTATTCGCATACATATACATTCATTATTAAATGACTTTTCCATAAGTACAGATGCGTTTATTATGAACAGTTTGATAAATAAATTACCAAACCATTTCTTTGAAAGGCCGACCTGGAAATATTTAGAAAATATTGATTTAGCAGATCCTGAATTTTATGTTAGTAGGCAAATTGATATTCTACTGGGTGCGGATATTTATTCATCGATTATAATGAGCGGTATTATAAAATTAGGACCACACCACCCTGTTGCGCAAGAAACACAATTTGGATGGATCTTATGCGGTAATGTTGAAAACAAAACGTTCAATTGTAATGTAGTTCTCAACCAAACAGACGCATTACAAAGATTCTGGGAAATCGAAGACATATCGCAGACATCACCATTTTCTGAAGCCGATGACCATTGCATTAAGTATTACCAGTCTACAACCATAAGGGATGAAAACGGAAGATATCATGTGAAAATTCCTTTCAATCCAGACCAAGAAAACCAGTTAGGAACATCCAAACCCATGGCTATTGCTCAATTTCGACAACTAGAAAGAAAATTTTCTAAAAATAACTTATTTGCAAATGATTATAAAATATTTATGAACGAATATCGCTTATTAGATCATATGACACTGGCCGCCCGCGACAACGGTAACAAGATACTCGATTGCTATTTGCCGCACCATGGCGTAATGCGTTCTGAGTCATCTACCACTAAACTTAGAGTCGTTTTTAATGCGTCGGCTAAAACATCGACGGGTCGCAGTCTGAATGACGTCATGGAGGTAGGTCCCAATCTACAACAAGACTTACAATCTTTGATTTTGAAGTGGCGTCAATACCGCTATGCTTTCACAGCCGATATAGAAAAGATGTTCCGCCAAATTAGAGTCCAGGAAAGCGATCAAAAATACCAGAAAATTATTTGGCGGGACGCACCAGACCAACCACTCCAAGAGTACCAGCTCACCACTGTTACGTACGGAATCAAATCTGCCCCCTTTTTAGCGATGATGACTTTAAGACAACTTGCTATTGATGAAAGTTCTAAGTACACCATCACCAATGCTACCAAGGTCCTAGAAGAATCATTCTACATGGATGACGTCTTACATGGATGCCATAAAGTATCCGATGGCGTTTTATTAAAAGCGGATTTAATTAAATTACTTAGATCTGGAGGCTTCAATTTACATAAATGGAAGTCTAATACCAACGAATTACTGTCTGATCAAAACCAAATCAACCAAAGCGACTTTGACTTCAAACAAGCGGAATCTACCAAAACATTAGGTCTCCGTTGGCAACCAACCAATGATTTATTTATTTTCGATTATGAAATAGACTTGAGAAATTCTCACCACACCAAAAGGAGCCTTCTATCGGACATATCTAAGTTATTTGACCCGCTAGGCTGGATTTCACCAATTACCACCAAGTTAAAAATATTATTCCAAAATGTTTGGAAAACACAGCTTGAGTGGGATGAAAAATTACCAGAAGAGATATACTGCGAATGGATAAAAATAAGAACAGATC